CCTGAATGTTCTAAAGCTCAAAAGAATTTACTGATTGGTGTGGTTTTCATTTTTTTTCCCCTTATTTCATTGTCTTTATATGCTACAAACTTTGCTTGTAGATAATATATTTCAATATAATTAATACTATGATTTATTCATGACGTGTAAAAGGATTCTTAATTGAATATATAGCTACCATGGCCACATAATTTATCTCTTTTATTTTAAATCTTTACCTGGGTAAAAACTGTTCTCAAAATAAAAGAGGAACAGAAAAATCCCTGTCTTTCAATGTAGCACATATTTCTAATAATTTTGTATGATAAAAAAAAATATATATTATTTTTCCTCTCAAGAAATTGTCAGAAAAGCGGAATCAGCGGACAGAAATTTTATAATTTGCATGTGAAGTGATATAATAAAATTTTATATTATAATAAATTACTGTAATATTGAATTAAGTATCTTATTATTTCTAATATATATATTATTAAACCTTGTTTTATATAGAAAAACAAATTAAATTTATCTCGCGTAATTTGTTTTAAAATTACACATAATTCTAACGAGCTATGTGTAATTTTCTTTCAGAAGCGAAAAAAATAATTTATTGATAATAGAATGTCTAATTGATTATGAATTTTAGTTATATAAAAAAATATATTGATAATGTTTAATTTTCATATAACTTTTTCTCAATTTTTTTATACTATCTATCAATTAAAAATATTCTTAAATATGATTTTTGAATCAATCGTTATAAAATAATCAATCTTGTCATAGAATTACTGAAAATGTAAAATAAAAAATAAAAAATTTGTCTATTCAAAATAAACTCGTATTGTTATATATTATACTTTATTTAAGGAATTATTAAAAAAATAAAATTAAAGAATTCGAAGTTTTTAACATCAGTCATTTACGCCATATATAATGTATATAGGGTTTGAGATTTCTATTTTATATCAATTTTATTATATTACTGTCTAACATAATTAAATGAAAGTTATTTATCTTTTGTGTCATTAAGAAGAAACGTATTCAATTATGAACATGTATCCAAACTTTGTAAACAATTTACTCTTCCAAATAATCAATTATATCACCATGTTTGAAAAAATTAGCTCAACCATACAAAAATTAGATAGCAATTGAGAGTTAATAGTTGATGGTTGAAAAAGTTTAAAACTGACTTATTAAATTAGAAGTATTTACTAAAATTATTTATTTAAATATTTGATAAATATAAAATGACAAAAAATAAACATGTTCATATATATCATATTTCTGGAGTACTTAAAGTTTTAATTTTTAATTAATTTAAAAATTTCATGTTTAAAATTTAATAATTTTTTACACTTTTTATCAATTATTATATACTTTTATATTGTGTATTTTACTATCAGTATTATTTATAACGTATCGTATAATATTTCAAATCCAATTCAAAATAAAAGATAAATGTCATACTTTTAAGTAGAGTCATCCCTTCATTATATATATATATATATATATATATATATCAATCAAAAGTAATGTAGTATAAAAAAAATATTATCTATTAATATCAATATATCGAATGTTAAAGTAATAAAATAAATATTACAAAATAATATAAATGGTCAAAATAAACAGTGTGATATAAAAATATGGTAAATAATTATCTATCATTATCCATATTTTATATCTTATATAGTATCAATATTTTATATAATAGAAACGTCAAAATAAGGAACCTTATACAAAATAATAAAATTCTATCTTATTGGTGGAAGAAGAGAATAAATATATAATAAAGTCTTATCCTATATAGAAAAAATAATAATAAATAGTTTAAGAATAAAAAACACATATTAATAAAATGTAGAAGTTTAACTTTCAGAACAATACTACTTCAAGTAGCATTTTGAAAAAAAAAACGTACAGGTTAGTAAAAAAAAAAATTCTTTTCAAATAATACCAATAAAAAAAAATGCCGAACATAATATATAAATAATGTTGATTTCGTAGGGCATAGGTTGATTATAGGTCATTTATAATCAATTATATTGTATTTTTTTTAAAAAAACCTTAAAGTTATTTTATCATTTTTATTTGGTATTAAATTTTAAAATATTAATCACTTAATTTGGTTTCAGTGTTTAAGATGAGTACAAACCATAATTTTTAGGGTTAAATATATTTTTATAATATATATACATATATTGTCAGTTTCCGTTTTCAAGCACAAAGTTTGATGTTCCAACAATGTAATGTTACAATACATGTTTTTGTTTTGTAATTAAAAAGGTTTATGTATTATGTATATGTAGAGTGAAGAATTGTATTATGTTGATATAAAATGAATAGTGAGAAAAAAAGAGGGAGAAAGAGAAGGATAGTGACTGCAATTGCAAAATTGTTGAAAAGCCAGAAACAGACTTTACTGAACATGGTTTTGATAGTAATTGAACATTCTCATCATCCCTGACCTTGCGTATGGACGCAAGTTTCGTAGCACTTGGATTATGTATTAACAATCATCATCATCATCATCATCATATCATGTCTTCCATCCATCTCCATTTCAATAATTCACTTTTGCTTTCCATGTTTTTCAAACTCACATTTATATATTACCCATCTAATTTCTCAACCCTTAAAACGTTTTTATAAACCCTATGTAAAATATTATAACTGCAATCAACAATACTAATTCAAATATTTTTTAATGGAATATGATTTAGAATTTTTAGTGCTATAATTGTGAAGTATAGTAATGAACATATAATGCAATTCATATTATGGTGATTTTTTATTGAAGAACGACACTTTTTCATACGTCCTTTCAAAGTTCATAGACTTTATACCTAACGTAAGACACGTATCATCAAACATCTAATCCTTTCTGATATAGGGCCACACATTTTCATAAACGAAACCGTGGCTTTTTTTTTTTTAATCAAATCTATTATTCTGGTTTAATATCTTTATTGTTTTTACACATTGCACATATATAATTTTAATTAGTGTAGTCCAATTCCAAGGACATAATTTTTTATTATTATTTTATTTTTCGTGGTGAGAAATATTCAAACCTGTTCAAGGGTACGTGATAGGACCTTATGTGATCATGTTTAACTAAATTAGGTAGACCGAATTAAAGACGATCATATGGGTTCATAAAACTTTCTAATAAAACACTGTTTCATTCTTCATTCATTTCAGTTGCTTCACTCAAAACATTCATGACTGGGTTTTGGAGATTTGTAAAACGCGATTCAAAAGACGGGATAAGTTGCAAAATTCCATAGCCACATATTCATCCATCTCTTCACAAAACTTTCCCATTAAATAATTTTATACATCGACAGTTTCAATGCAAAATTCAAAGAATTTTAAAAAATATATATTCAAACAATGATTAATTAAAATTTAATAAAAGTTAAAAATAATTAATTTAATTTTTTTCTTAATTAAATAGTTTAATTTAAATTTTCATTTGGAATCTAATACTAAGTTATTGTATTTATTTAGTGATGACGAACTGAGAGTAAAAGAGAGTTCTAACAAAAGTTATTTAAGAATAAGATAAATATTTTATTATGGGAATAGTTGAGTTGTTTAAAAGTTAATAAAATTATTTAAAATTAAAAATGTTATTTAAAACTAAATTTTTTTTGTTTATATAATATTTAACAAATTTAGAATAATAGAAATGTAAATTAAATTAGACTAAAGTGTAAAATATTAAATTGGCTTAATTTAAATCTATATTAAATCAAAATAAAATAAAATCGAAACATACTTAATTTTTATAATTAATTTAAATAAGTATTTAATAAAAAAAAAACTAAATTTAATGAGGAATATGTGAAGGAAGGGAGACATATAGATAGGTGCAACGTTAAAACATTCTTTCCTTCCGGAAAGAAACGGGAGACTCAGATTATTGAATCCCTCGAAACGTTTCTCCGCGAAATGCGGCTACTTGCCGCCTCTTTTGTTTCTTCTCCATCTTTCTTTTCTCTTCTCTGAAACACCATTCACCAATCTTTTTTATTTATTTATATACTTCCCCTTAATTCTATCATAATTGTGTTGTAACATCTAACAAGTTTTCACCATTCTATTATTACAATATTTTATTTATATTTGTTTCCCTTTCTCTATGTAAAATTCTGAAAATTATACATGTCAAACTCAGTATACTTCAAATCACAATCTATTTATATATAATCTAACTAACTATTTGATAGGTTTATAAACTTTTCTTGCAAAAAGTACAACTATATTATATGAGATGCAATACCATACTAAAATAGGACAATTTATATAAATCAAACATATTTTTTTTATATAAATATTTAATACAATTACATATATATGTTAGAGTGGAATTTGAAACTAAACAATAAAGAAAAATAAGGTGTATTAAATGCATGTGTAGGGTGGTATTGAAATGAGAATATTATAATGATTGGGTAGATAGATAGATAGATGGGAGAATAAGAAGAATAAGTTATTTAGAAAATAAAGTGGCAAAAAATTGAGCTTAGACGGTGTTTGATAAATCTCGCAGCAGCACAGTTGTGTTATATTTTATTACTCCAACCAGTTTTTGTGATTTAAAATTCCTTCTCTCTCCTGATGTTGCGTATGGAATGGAGCTGTTTTGTGTGAAAAGTCAGCGTCTCTGTCTCTCTCTCTATAAACCCATTCTCTTTTGTTTGTCATTGTGAGGAACAATCAGTTTCAACCTCCAAAAACCTGTTCCTTAATTTGCTTTTTCTTGCTTCTTAACAGCCAAAAACCCATCTTCCCAGGAGAAAGCCTTTCTTCTCACACCCCCTTCTTAATCCTCCCAACCTACCTCCTCACACACCAAACAAAATTCCAACAATTGCATGTCTTTTCTCTCATTCTCTCAAGCACCAACATATCTCCTTCTATGCTCCAAAACATGTCACACACACACCCTTCTTCCTCTTTGGACTTGAACACCAACCTCTTGTTCCGCTAATAGGAAGAGATAAAGCATGTGCAGCAGCATCTTTGGGCCAATAATCATGGACAATTACCAAGGTGATTTAACTGACATAGTCCGAGCCAGTGGTGGAGCATATGGTAGCAGCAGCTGCAGCACAGGCACTTCATCTTCTGAATTACCTACCACATCTCATCACCATACTATTACTCACACCCTCTCTCATAATGATCACTGGCACCATCACTTCTCTTCTTCTTCTTCTGATCCCATCACTTTCACTTCTGTGCTTCAAGACCCCAGAGGAGGCACCAACTTTGGTGATCCATTCTCCACCATGAGAGATCCCTTCCTTCAGGAGCTTGACATGCCTTCAGCTTCTACCTACTTCACTGGCGGTTTGGAAGAAGCAGCTGCAAGTTTTGGTGCTGCCGCTGTTAATACTAATGCTAATACTAGTACCACTGTTTTTGCTGCACACAAGATTCTTGAGGAACATGACATGAGAAGACCTTGTAAAAACATATTCTCCAACATGATTCAGATCTCTCCCAATGCAAAGTTACCGGTCTCACCCTATGATTCTACCACGGCCATGGCACCTTCTCCAAGGCCAATTAAACCTCCTGCTGTTGTTTCACCCAACATGGTTAATACAAATGCCTCCAAGGATTGCCTTGTGGACACCACGGGAGTGCAGATCTCATCTCCACGGAATCCGGGTCTTAAACGAAGGTCAGAACAATAAGATATTGCTTAGTTAATTAATATCTGCACAGAACTAAATTTAGTTTATGCTTGTGGGTATTAATTTCATGGGGGCATCATAAATTATGAATCACATACTTTTAATTTTTTTAAAGGTGGGGTGAAATTTTATGAAAGTGGCTCTGGTGAAGTTTACACTGTTGAGAGAAAGTAGGGTTTGGCATGAGTTAGGTACCTGTGTTCCTTTTCTTGTGCTTTCCAAATCGGTTCCGTTGACTGGCCCAGTTAAGCTAGGTAGCTGCTCAGAAATGAGAAATAGTAGTTTCATTGTCAAGAGACTAAACATGGTTTATTCATTGAGGCTTTTCGTAGGCTTTAATCCACCTGAAAAGTAGAGTTAGCTCGGCGTGTCATACACACAATAACAGTCACACACTTAGCTTTCACCCAACTTATCTTAAACCACCTGAAAATTCCTATTCCTTTTATCCTCATTATCGTCACACAGAACCGTATTCCTTAGTTGGAAACCAAATTAAACGGCCTGATCTCATGGTTATTCTCAAATATTCTATTTCTCTTTGTAATATTCTTATTTCTTGCTCATGTCACGCTTGTGTGGTCAGAGTTAATAGTGAATAATATAAGTAGTTAAGTAATTGATATATTAAAGCTGTTGTTGTGTAATTGCTGCAGGAAGAACCAGGCCAAAAAGGTGGTTTGTATTCCTGCACCAGCAGCTGCAAACAGCAGACAAACTGGAGAGGTAGTTCCGTCAGATTTGTGGGCTTGGAGAAAATATGGTCAGAAACCCATTAAAGGTTCACCTTATCCCAGGTTAGCCTGATAGTTTAGCCTTAGGTATATGATTGATATATTATTCTCTGTAAGATAAGATATTTTAGGAATAATAACTGTGGGCAGCATATATTAGCTACACTACACAAACCATATATCACAACTTCTCTCCCCTATAAACTCAATTTCGTGTAGCTTACTATACATGTATCGTGTTAATTTCTTCGATGTTTAATTTCTTGAATTTTGACCATTGAATATGGACCATCACAATTTGAGGTTTAAAAAACAACTAGGCCAAAAGCTTTCCCATTCAGAAAGTTTTCTTTACCCATTTTTTTATTAGAAAAAAATCACTATAAGCGCACGTCTGGTTAAAGATTCGTCGTTTTCTTGAAGTTGTCTTAAAAAACTGGCAAGAAAAGCAAATGGTTCTTTTAAATTATTAATTTTGAACCAAATTCATTCGAGAGCAGTGATGGTAATGTCTGAAATCCTTTTAGGATTTTCATACAACTGTTTTAGGTCAAATGAAAGAGTTGGGCAAAGGAATAAGATTGTTAAGAGATTGGTTTTTGCATTAACGTCTTGTTATAGGTGTTGGTCTTCTTTCTTATTTTCATTTGGGGTGTTGTTAAAGTGTTTCTTATTATATATCATTCTCTTGTGGTGGTATCTATCAGGGGTTACTACAGATGCAGTAGCTCAAAGGGTTGCTCTGCGAGGAAGCAAGTTGAGAGGAGCAGAACAGACCCAAACATGTTGGTTATTACATACACATCAGAGCACAACCATCCGTGGCCAACTCAAAGAAATGCTCTGGCTGGTTCAACAAGGTCACAGCCATCCAAGAATAATGCTGGAAATTCAAAGAGCTCAGAAGTCTCAAACCCCCAAAAGAGCTCAACATCAAAAGCAAAGGATGAGCAGCAGCAGGAGAGCAACAACAGTGAGGGCAATGTGTCCCCAGTTCTTGCTGGGAATTCATCAGCAAACAGTGCATCTGTGAAGGAAGAGAATATGGAAGACATAGAGAAGCAGCTTGAGATGGATGAGGGGGAGTTCAGTGATGGCCTCCCTTACAAGCCTTGTTTGATTGATCAGAGTAATAATCAATCTGAGGATTTCTTTGCTGAGTTGGGAGAAATAGAAGCTGACCCACTGGACCTTTTGTTTACTCAAGGTTTTGGCTCAGCCGATGATCAAAGGGAATCCAAGGCCTTAGATCCATTCCATCTGTTTGACTGGTCAGGAGACAACAACACCAACGCCAACACCAGTTCATTTGAAGAACCTAATACAAAAAGAAGGTTATAACAAGACCTAGAAAAAGGCATGCAGCACCTCCCTCACAAAACACCTTAATATCATCCTTTTAAGTTTTATTTGGTGGTGCAAATATCATTCAAGGTCATGTTATGCTCTTTCTTATTTGGTTTGAAATCTGTGATGTGGGGGAGGGTGTGAGAGATTTCCACTTTTTCTGCTTACTACCTTTTCTTTTTCTTGTTATTTACCAGAACAGTCAGGGAGATAAATTAGTAGAGTGAAAAAAAGAGAGTGCTGGTTGATTGGAAGCAAACTCAACGAGTCCCACATTCCTTTTGGAATATTGGTGGATGGGACAGAAAGCTGAGGAACAGAAGGTTGCAACAGTTAAAACAAGTACATTCACTATAGACATGACTCGAAAGCTCAGTGAGTAGATTGATGATGATAATGGGATGGGACTAGCCCTTTCATCTTTTCAAGTGGGAAAAATTATTTAAAAGCCACACCACACCCTTTGTCATGTGGGGTTTTCCATACAAATTGAAAAAAGAAAACAAAAAAGAGAGAGATCACAGATTTGCTTGCTGAGATGAAATTTATGAAAGAAGACAAAAGAATATATAGGGTTAAAGTTAAGTTATATTATATTATATAATACTATAATATAGAGCTTGACTTTTCATATCAGTCATTTCTAGGATGTGTGACGTGAGAGGGAAATGCATGCTTTGGTTCCTCGGCTTTCTGTTTTTTATTATCCACCAACTCATGTTCATTGTTTTGAATGAGATGAGATTACTTTATATGTTTCTTACACTAGTTATTAATTACATTTTGATTCTATTGTTCTATCATTTTAAAATTATCATTTTTATATACCGGGTCTTATCTGTTAGCATCGGTAGTTTTCCGTTTTCATAATAAAATCCAGCAAAACGAGGTTGGCATTTGATCATTTCGCATGTGCATGCTCGCCTATTAGTGCATGTTTTTTTATAATTATACGCAGAATCCTCGATCCGTTTAAATATAAAAATAAGTTTGAAAACGCAATATATATTCATTCATAAACAAGCACAGAAACATAAAATCAAGGAAGATAGAACATGTAGGTTTTTACATAATTGTTACAAAATATATAATATATACTACGTATTCTCTGACATCATGTATACTCGACCGGTCAAGTTCTAGTTCAGGCTTTTTAGGTAATTATATTAGTGGAAGTTTAGTTTGCCTGAACATTCACTCTACCCGTAAATCCAAAACTTATATGAAAAACCCTACAGTGTATATATATATGTGCATAAACTGTACCTGCTCTTTGACCTTTTTCGGTGTTTTCTCTTTTTGGCTCTAAATAATAATTACAATGCCACTTTCCACTGCTGAGGTTGTTTGTAATGCCATACAAATGAGTAGTTCTAATTAAAAAACTTTTAGCTAATGAGTACCCATACGACGCAGTAGATGAATTAATTTACCTGAAAATGATCACAGTAATATCGAACACAAAAGAAGATGAAAGAGAAAATTATGATTGTCTTTTTTTCTGATACGATATTAGTTAAATATTGTTGGCTTCTGAAACTTTGGGAGTGAGAAAAGAAAAATAGAGATATATAATTTAAACAATCAAAGTCTGAAACATAAATATCGCAGATCATAGTACATTGTTCTGATAGAAGTGAATTTTACACATACTTAAAAACTTATAAGATTTTCTAATCCATTTGAACGGACATCTTCGCCGCTGTTTATGCTGTCACGGGCCTTTTTCTTATGTAAGATTAATTGGAAACGTTTCATTTACCCTAGGATACCTAAACTTCCATGTATGTGTGTGTATATATAGTTTAGTAATGTGAATTAAGAATGACTTTGCGGATAATATTCTTTCAGTGCTTTTTCACATTTTGCTATGCAATGATTAAAAGTAATTCCTGGTAGTGGATTCTCCAAATATGTTGTGGTGGAGTGAGAGCAAGGTCCTGTACAGGGCACTTTCATACTTAATATTTGCTTTAGGAAGTGTAATATGAATATACAAGTGGCTCAAACTACATAAGTTTATAGAGGAAAGTGGCACCTGAGAAAGTAATCCATTTATGATCTTATGTGTTCTTAGTTGGAATTGTGGTGTGTTAGATCTGAAATTATTCTATGCTCTTATTCCTATATCTTCTTGTCGTTGCCTCTCAGTGGTCGTGAATGGTGATTAATACCTACAAAAATCGAATGCCTAAATAAGCAAAGGGGTTTCACACTCTATTGTGCAAAGGGCATAATGTGTCTCTCTATAGTGATATGCCACGATAAAATAGGAAAAATAGTATCTCACATAAATAGAGAAAGTTGCAGCTTGATGTGATAAAAAAAAAAAGTGGTATAAAGTAGGAAGATTTGATTCTTATGAGAGTTAAATCATGATTCATATCTTCCAAGGATTTTATGATAACATGGGTGAGGGTGTAAGTCACGTAATCTTTGCAGATATGGAAATATGATATGATATTGGTCCAAAATATATAGGAAGGTGGGATGATAAAATGATATCTACAAAACTTTATTACAATGATCTCTCACCTCGAATTTTACCTGAACCATGGTGGTGCATAGCACATTATACGTACATAGATTTGAACAAACAGGTGATGTGCATGTTAATGTCAAATACTGAAATGCATGTTATAATTAGCAAAAGATATGTGGGGAGCGATAATGGAGGGTTTGTCTTGAATATAAAATGTGACATTTTGTCCTAAACACGTTGAGGCCACATATCTGGTTCATTATGGAGACAACTTTTATTTATCTGAGGCTAAGTTATTGGCTTTAGTCTTGTCAAATCCAGAAACTTTAGTGAAATCCATTCTCACCCCCCCTCTTCAAATGAAGTCACTTCAATGAGTAGAGAAAACAACACTCTCCTACTTGATTGACGGGTTAGAGTCTTTCATTATGGATTTCAAGGAATAAGGATGCAACTTAGTTTGTGGGAGAAACTGTAGTTCATGATTTTCAAGAACCAAACCAAACTCATCATCAATCGACAACACACTTACAAAGCTTAATCATTCTATGTTCTTTTTAAAAAATAAAATAAAATGTTTGGTAATAATTCCCTTTAGTCTTTTGATGACCCCGTTAAGTTCTTTTCTTTTCTACAATGAAAAAAGATGGCTCGTAAATGAAAAAGAGATTAATGTTAAAAATAAGATGAATGAGTCTGAGATGATGATAACAACTATGATCGGTGTGACCAAAGCCGTTTGGTGAGTAATGACATTCATGCGATGGTTCAAAGTGGTTTTGATGTTATAATGTCAAATCAAATCCACTTTATTTTGTTTGAGTATCCCTGCTACTGCGTCACGTCCACCGTTAATCACGTGTAAGAAATTTCCTAAATTAAATTCTTACAGCTTTCAATTTACTGTAATAATAATAATAATAATAATTTTTTATTAAAATTTTCAAATTTTGTATATACAATATTCTACAAATACACAAAGATAAATTATATATATATTATTCTCTTTTTATTTATGAAATATTTTTTAAAAATAAAATTTTGATAAATTTTAAAAATAAAATCATGATAAATTTAAATTTAAAAACGAATAAAATCACCAGAATAATTCATGGTTTTATTCATATTCTATATATATATATATATATATATATATATATATATTCCAATAACTAAAACAACAATTTATTATTTATTGATACATAATTATGTGAGAATCATTAATCATTTATTTGTGTTGTTATGAACAATAATAAGCCAAACACATAAATTAATTATATATATATTATTGTTATTATAAAAGAACATAATTAATTATGTCTTAACCGATGATTATTATCAGTTTGTGAAAGCATTACTTGCTAAAATTAGTTTCTTGGCATCATTTTCTGCTTTGCTTAAACCCGTTGATAGTTATTTTTACTATGTTTCATTATGATTTCCAAACAACATTACAACATTTAATAAATCTTTTAACTATTTAACGTTTTAATATATTAATTTACTAATAATAATAATGATAATATAAATTGTATTTATCTAATTAAGATTAAAGAGGAAATTATAGTAAATTTAATCACTTGACTTATCTATCTATATATACCCAACCATGCAAATGTGTAAAAGTTGTTTAATAAATATTAAATCAACTCTAATACTATGTTTGGATTGGAGGATCAACCTAAGCGAGTGAAATAAGAAAAAAAAAAAAAGCGAATAAAAGAAAGAGAATAACAAGAGTGAGAAGTAAAATTATGTAGATTAAAAGAAAGAGAATAAATAAGTTAAAAATGAAATAATTTTTTTATTATTAATAAAATATTTTATTCTCTTAATATTATTTTTTAATTATCATAGTTATAATAAAAACAAAGAAAATGGTTATTAATAAAAGAATGAGGACATAATTGATTATATTTTTTTATATGATCTATTATGTAATATAAACATATAATATTATGTTATATAATTAATTATATGAAAGAAAATATTGATTTTATCAATTAATTTTGTATTTTTTTCGCTCTTAATAAACTTTTATGTCTTTTTAAGCATATTTTAACAAAAAGTTAGTGACCTTCTCTTATCCCAAATATTGGTGTTTATTGTTGGAATTGAACCAACTAAATGCTCACTTTTCTTGTCAATTTTTTTGCGCTACTTAATAGAGTGTGGGATGGGCAAGTCTAAAAGAGAGAGATTTAAAATTTTAATACCCACTCTATCTCAATTGATTTTTATCATACTTGGATTCACCAAACAATAATTTATGACCCCATTTTGTTAACAATTTTTATTTATACGTACATTTAAAATAAATTATATGTCAAGTAATTTATTATATTTTAATTCAAACAACAAAAGTGAACAAATTTATAAGTATATTATAATTTTAGTTAAATGTGTAATTTATTTTATAGTAATCTTATAATTTAAGCAATAAAAGAATTAACTTATATTTTAAATTGATAAAAATATATAAAAAAAATCCGTGATTAACAAAAAAAAATGCTTTATCTTCACTATTTATTCTCTCGTATAATTTAATAATTAGAATAAGTTATTATTTAAAATTATTAAATTAAAAATATAATAATGAACATAGAAAAAAAATCTCTAATTTTGATTTATATATATAATATAATATAATATTGAGAAGAATAAAAGAAAATATAAAAAATATGAAAAAGTTAATTATATATGCATATTTAGCTATGTTTGAAAAAGAAAAATACTAAATAAACCCATATTAGGTTGAAGTTAGTATTTTTCATCAAAACTTAAAACAAATTCGAATATGTAACTGCAGGTTCAGATTATTTATCACTATTACTACATGGCTAAGTTTGATTAATATACATAAATACGACAAATTACATTATGTGTAATTCAAATGAAAAGTAAAATTGCACATGTATTTTTCATGACTAAATAAAAATAATATAAAAAAATGCAACACATTAGCATAATCCATTTTATGGAATTGTTATGATAAGAAAACATTGCTTGTCACCTAAAAATTACAACACGTGTAATTTTACTAATAACAACGTTGGTTGGGTTCTTTTCTTGGTTCATAGGCAGCCACGCTCCATGGTATTGAGCCCATAAAAAACAATTCGTAAGCAAGATAAGAACTTTACTTCGTTCTTTTCATGTTACAATGCTCTTGCATTTGTCGCCAACCCAACACTCTCTGATGGCATTACATTCGCCGCGGCTTCTGTCACTCACACGAAGAGTCTTTTCTACTTCTTCTTCTTCCTTTCAAGGAGGGGTTTCTATGGTTCAAGGAGCTTCCAGAGGAATTGGCCTTGAATTTGTGAGAATTTGTAACTTTCTTTTCTTACTTCCACTTTACCATTGCTTTCTTACGATCGGGGCATGCCCACATTGTCAAAATTTCATCTTAGTATCTGAATCATAGTATCAGAAAGAGGTGAAGCTGCTTTTCACCTTTACCCTTTTAACTTCTCTGAGTACTAAACCATTAATTACTATAACTTTATAGGAGTAGAGTAGAATACAATGGGGGTTAGATTGATTACTCTTGTTTTTAGTATTTTGTGTGTACCTTTTTCATCTTGACTTTGCAGTGGTATTGTAGCATTACAATAATTGCAGTCATTTTATAGTATATTTCAAAAGCAGAACAAGTCTGTTTTTTATCAGTTTTTATTATGCGTCAAATATCAATGAATTAATTATAAGTTAATGATTTTTTTTTTTACAAGAATGATAACTAGCCTTTCCATAATCTTCAGGAATGCTGCGCAATTTGTACACTATATTTGTTTATTAATAAAGCTATGCAATTTTTCTTTTGACAAACAGATCATGAATGAACTTGATTTTTTATTTGATACTCTTAAAGAAATCTGATGGCTTATCCTTTAGTTCACCTCCACTGGCTCCACATGTCGAAGGAGCTATCAAAAATCTTGGTTGTCATATTTATCAAATAATTTTGCTGAAACAGTTTTAACACTGCTTTCAGTTTTTTTCCATCTACAGGTAAAACAACTTCTAGAGAACGATGTTAATGAGCATGTTATTGCTACTTGCCGTAATCCTAGAGCATCAACTGGGCTTATCCATCTGAAAGATAAATTTTTGGATCGACTTAGAATTTTGCCATTGGATTTGACTATTGAAAGTTTAATCGAGGTTATCTTTCCTTTACCTATGTTGTTATCCTTTTCATTTGCTCCAATAGAAGCATACCTTTAGATTTTAGACACCAAGAGGAGGCTTCAAGCTTTTTTTGTTCTTCCTTTCTCCCCAGTTTCTCTGCACTTCTAAGGTTTACTTAGTTACAAGGTTAGATGGTTCGTTCTACGAAGTTCAATATGAGCAACGATAGATATTATAGAACATTAGTTAAACCTAAATGATACTGCACATATCCACCCATATCCTGTTATCAGCTGCAATATAGGTGCTAGTGTCAAGGGAAATTAAGCAATTCTGGTGGCCTTTTCTTTCAAGATTGATGTTAGGTAATTCAACTGTTTATCACTAGTTATTGTTGTTAAGGATGGTATGTTAAGGAGCCATGGCCACAATTTGCATCTTAGGGGAATGGGTTGGGAGATGATAGATGAGGGTGGGTGGGTGCTATTTTCCTTTAAGCCTATTTACATCCAAAAACATAATTATGAAATTCACATTCCTGATTAAGGATTAAGACAGTTCACTGTTGATTGACATAATTCCAAATTTGTTAGTCTCTTAAGATTTGTGCCTTTCATAATATTTCAGGCATCTGCATTGTCAATAAAAGAGACATATGGCCATCTAAACCTTCTCATTAATGCGTCTGGCATTCTTTCAATACCTGAAGTAATGCATCCAGGTAAAACAATTTTTTCATTCCTTGGTAATGCACTAATAATATCCACTGCCTATAGTAGCATACTGGAAGTTTTAAGATCCTACAATCTCTGATTTCTGTATAAGTTTTTATTCATGTATCCTCACCCCCACCCGAAAACACACACACCCAAAAAAAAAAAAAAAAAACTAAAGGATAACAGATGAAAAGGTAAAAGAACATTAATTATAGCAGATTTATGTAAAACGGGAAGAAGAGGACTTGTTCCTATAAAGAAGGAAGTGTGAACGGAGGCTAGTGATGTTAAGTGGTGAGCTAAATTAAAGAGCTATTATCTTGTTTTGAGTTTATGCTTCTTACAAATACCAGGCAGCTGATTATATAAGTTATTTGTACAAATACAGAAACAACATTGAACAAAGTGGAGAAATCATCTTTAATGCTTGCATATGAGGTTAACGCAGTGGGTCCTATCTTAGTTATCAAGGTAACATCAATCTAATTTTCATTACAAAAGTGATTTATTTATCTATTTATGATAGTTTTACAAGTAAATATCTTTATATGTATGAGGTGTTATAGAGTCCTTTGGATGCTACAGGAAGAGATTGATATGGACATGTTAAATACCGAATATGTTCATTGTAGTTATTATTGCTGGCTCTTAGTAAATTCTGTAAATAAATTATTAGTTTAGTTTTGTAGCTTGACAAGAATATCCTTGCTTAGAAATTATTACTATTTACAAAAACTCATGCTTGTTTGCATGTAATCTGAATTGATGTATTTATTTAGATATTAGATGTCACTTTTTTATTTGTCAATTAATAACAATGGAGAACGCCTCCTGTGCTTTTCAATGGAATTGGAAAGCTTATTTGATGTGGCTGTCAATCTATTCCTACTTATCTGGCACATAAGGTTGGTTAAAAATATCAAATTGGCCTAATTGATTTCAGTTGGTAAGACAGAAATCTCTCATGCTCTTAGTCCTATCTACATAGTCTTCCTTACCTTTTGCGTCTTTAGTACTAAGCATTTGAACTTCAAAAGATTATCCCTCAATTTGTCTCTTCCCTACACACTTGTCTAATATGATGAGAGCAGTTCTATCTTCTGATTATCTCTGTAATCAGCTAATTCCTTGATTTGCTCTTACATCTAATGGATTCTTAGAATTAACTAAATAAGATGAACTGTATGTATGTATGTACTCAATACCCAACTTAGCTCTCCTAAAGGTGGCTAATCCTCCCAACTGCATCATTTCCATAAAATGTCTTTTGCAATACCCTTCCTTCACATTGATCCAAAGATTGGAAAACTACCGCACAAATCCTACAGTTCCATGCTCTGCTTCTTACTTTCATAAAAATTCTATAACTGTTCATGATAAGAAACCTATTAGACACCATACTGAGACCCTATTAGCTCCATTTGAATTTGGGTATCTTACTTAGTTTTGTAATTCATTCATTCCATTGCCCACAATATTTTATCATGGGAAAATTTGTTTAAAGGGATATTGGTCCTTTCAGGTTCCCAAAGAAATGATTTTTCTTTAAACGTTACCTTATTTCTAAAATTGTATGCAATAACCATGACATTCATCATTGTTTGTGTCTAATTTCATAAGTACTCTTTTATCTTCGATTAATATATGAAGATGTTTTCAATAATTTGAGTCAATATTGTATCTAATTTTGTCAATTTTAAAATCAGCACATGTGGCCTCTTCTAAAAGTAGGAGGTGGCCATGGGACTGAAAGAAGCACTGCAGTTGTGGCTAGTTTGAGTGCAAGGGTTGCATCCATTGGGGACAATCGTCTTGGGGGCTGGCACTCTTATCGATCTTCAAAGGCTGCTCTTAATCAATGTATGACTTATTATTGTTATTGTTATTATCTCTGTCATGAGATTTTCAATATGATAAGTCTTCTAGTTGAATCTTACATATGGGTGTGATTATGGTACTACCAAACATGTAATTTTAACAGTATCGAAGACTGTCTCCCTGGAATTCGCCAGAAGGAAGGATCCAATTGCCTGCATTTTACTGCATCCTGGTACAGTTGACACAGATCTCTCTAAGCCTTTTCAAAAAAATATTCCCCCAGATAAGCTCTTCAGCAAAGAGTTCTCAGTCCAGAAGCTGCTAAGCATCATTAACAATGTGAAGAGCCATGACAATGGCAAGTTCTTTGCCTGGGATGGTCAAGAAATACCCTGGTAACCCTAGCATAACATGTAAGAAATATATCAATAAGACAAAACTATATGTCATAAAATTCATTGATTCATTGATGTTTATGGAATATCAAAGAAACATAGATACTTTTAAATGTTTGCCATACTGATGTGCATAGAATTTCCTATTCAGGTACTCTAAAAACTAGTTTGTATTATATTTGCAATCACTAAAGTATAGTACAATAAAAGTCTTCGCTTTTTCTCAATCATTTGGTGGCCTATTATTTTGCCTTCTATGTATAAGGTCTTAAGTTGCCTTCCTTTTCGAAAAAAAATATAAGATAATATATATATATATATATATATATATATATATATATATATATATATATATATATATGTGTGTGTGTGTGTGTGTGTGTGTGTAAAACTTTCGATATAATTAAATGCTTCAGCTTGTTGTAGACAAAAGTTCAAGAAATAAGTTAAGGCGTTCATTTGAGTTTGTGATGGCAAGGAATTGAAAATGGTTAGATTCTATAGAATGTGTTTTGAGTAGGAACTTTGCACTACGCTTGCTGAGTACCAATTTCTTATCAGTCAAAGTGGTCACAAAAGCAGACTATTTGGAAAACCTAATTAGTCGATTTAACTGATTTAATCGAAACCGTTAAAATTGAGAAAATTATCTGGATTTTTGGATCAAATTGATTTTGGATTTTTGGGTCAAATTGATTTTAGTAAAAAATAAGAAAAAAATTAAAAATCAATTTTTTTAATATAATATTTTTATAAGATATATAACATATTTTTTTTAAATTTTTAGTTATTAGTCAATTTTAAATAATAATTATTTTATTAAATTTTAATCTAACTATTATTCTTTTTATATTTTCTAATATATTTTTTAGGATAACTTACTTTTCATATTATATTCTCTAATCTTTTTTATATTTGAGATTTTCATTATAATTTATGACAATTATAATAGTAATCTGTATTATTTTTCTTTATTTTATAAAAAAAATTATTTTTAATGAACTTATTATATATTATTATATTATAAAAATATTAATTTATTAAATTTGATTCAATTCTGATTAAATTTTTAAATCCTGATTCATGTCATAATCGATTTAATGATTGGTTCCATTTTAAAACCATTAAAAGAAACAAATGACAAAATACGTGAAAATCACTTTTCAAAAAAATATAAAGTTTTAAGGAGATATAAACCACAGGTTTCATTCTGGAATTGTGGTGATATCACAGTTCAATAACGAGTTAATTATTATTTTTAACCATAAATAGTTTATATGATTAAAAAAAATTATCTATTTATCTTATATCAAATAATGTTTTCTTTTCAAAACAAAATATGCGTATTACAAATCATTATTGCAAAAATAATTTCGAAGTCCACAATTTTTCCTTTTCACTAGAAGAATAAATTTTCTCTTTCTAAAATACTTTTACACAAGTATGTTGTAAAATTGCAATTAAGCATTTGAAATATTTTATGAAGTTTTTTAAACTATAATTCAAGAATGCAATTAAGCATTCAAAAGGTTGATACATGGGTTAGTCATGGCAAGGGGCGGGGCGGGCGGGTTTTGTCTCCCGATCCCCGTCGGAGTTAGAAATTAAGTCTCCATCATTGTCCCTGCTAGGTTTTGGGTTCTCTGTCCTTGCTAGGTTTCGGGTTCCCGTCCCGTCCCCGATCTATATTATTTAAAAAAAAATAATTACATTTATAATAAATTAATTTTACTATCTATTTTTTTATATATAAATAAATATTTATAATTTTATAATTTATAATTATTATTAATTAAATATACATTTTAATTTATTATATTTATATTAAAATATGTATGTAAAAGAAATATTTAATCATTTTTTATTTATAACATTATTATTATTATTATTATAACACTATATTCAAATATTTGAATACTTATAACATTATTATTATAATACTCGTATTCAAACATTTGATTATATATATAAGTTAATTCATTTTTAAGTTGTCATTTAAAAATATGAAATATATAGTTTATAAGGAAATATTTAATAAGTTAATTCTTATTCAATTAGTTCGAAGTAATAAAAGTTTAAATTATCAATTCCTTTAATCATTTAAAATACAATTATTTTATTAAGATAAAATTTGATATATGATAAATAAGAATAATAAGATAAAAAAATATGACATAATAAAACCTAATAAATATAAATTATAAATAAAATAATATTAGTTACTACTAAGATTTATGTAAAATATTTAGAAAAAGATAAAGAATAAAAAAATTAACTTTGTGTTCATCAAATTGGTTGAAAAGATTGAAAAAAAAACAAATTGATGTGAGAGATTAAGGAAATGTGAAAAACTGAAAGGTAAGAGAAAGACTAATGTAATAAATTAATTGATATAAAAGATTAAAAAAGACAAAAAAATTAAAAAGTGGGTAGAAGAAAAAAATTTGGTGAAATATAAAAAAATGATCTTATATGTAATAGAAAAAGAAATACTTTTAAAATATTAATATTTTAAAATTTAAATATAAAGTCGGGACGAGAACGGGGTCGGGGTGGGGATTGCATTACCCATCCCCGTCCCCGACTTTTTAAAGCGGAAAAACCTGCCCCCACCCCGTCCCCGCCCCATCCCTGGTCAACTTGAGTTTTCTCCAGTCAAACTTGGGACGAGGACGGGTCGGTCCCCACGGGTACGGGTTTAATCGTCATCCTTAACATAATTATTGTTTACAGCAGTTTCAACGATCATCTGGTTCGTTACGATTTAATGCGAAGTTATAAATTGTTTATGTTACTTCTGATTGATGTACTTAATGCTAAATTCGTTTTTAGATTTTTAGAAACCACTTTCACAGTACAATATTTTTGAGTTACATTCATTAAATGGAAAGAACTGTTTTAGAATAACATACATGGTTTAATTGTTATGTATTTAATTTCTGAAATGGTTACTTTGCATTTCACTTCTATAAAATAGAAAATGGAATTTACATTTTTTAATAAATCTTGGCACCAAGTAAATTATAAAACACAACACAAGACCAAATGGCTACTCATATTGCTGCAAATGATTCTTCTCCGATTGTAGACGCTGAAAAGATCAAGAATGCATGCAAAGGTTATCTTCTATGGTGCACAATATATAAAATCATATAAATTTCCTTTATCTAAAATCATGACATATATCATTATCATGAGTGAACAAACTAACTTTACTAGATTTCTAACCATTTTTTTCAATGGTGTATGGTTCATAGGATTGGGCACAGATGAGGCAGCTCTTATATCCATACTAGCTCATCGAAATGTGACTGAAAGGAAACTTGTGAGGGTGGCTTATGAACAAATTTATCATGAAGATCTTATCCAACAGCTCAAATCTGAACTTTCAGGAAGCTTTCAGGTCAAAATATTATATACAATTCAGTGCATTAGTTTTCTAAATATATCTGCAAGATGATGTTACTTGCTCACTATCTTTTTCTTCTTCTCGCACCTGATAAGTTTTTTATTTGAGAAATGACTACAGTTAAATGCTAATGTTATTATGAAGTATATATTCACCATTAGTATAAAAAAAAAATACTAGATTTGACTTAGAATCATAATTTTTTCTTTGATTATTAAAACAAAGCTAACCCATGGCACCTGATAATTTGAGTTGATATTAATTATTCGAAATAAGTTTCATGTTCAACAGCATCAAACTTTTTGGATACATCTATTGGATAACTAACATTGTTGTTGCTAAATATCATACGAATCATTGAAATTAGAGAGGTATTTGCAATTGGACGATGGATCCAGCTGAAAGAGATGCTGCATTTATTAACGAAGCATTGAAGAAGGAAACATTGGATTTCAAAGTGATTGTTGAGATTGCTTGCACTAGAACTTCAGAAGAGTTTTTGGCTGTGAAGCGTTCATACCAATTCCTGTATAAGCATTGCCTTGAAGAAGATGTGGCCTCCAAAACAAATGGTGATGTTCGCAGAGTAAGTCACAGATTACTTCACTGCATTACCAAGCTATTATTTTACGTGTGCTTTCTTCTCTGAATAAAATATTTCTGTTTATCAAGTATTAGAACCTTAAAGTGATAATCATCTAAATTTTGTTGTGTTAACTTGGATAACATCTCTTGAACCAAAAACGGCAAGGGTTTGAATTGAATGTTGACTGAGAATTAGGGATTGTAAATTGGTTTCTTGTTGATTTGAATGTTAAAGATGAAAATTAGCAAAATGTATGCATTGCCACATTTGTGTTACACCTACCAAGATTAAATTAAGAATGCAACATTAAAATTGCATTAGGAATTATAAGGTTTTTACCTGTAAGAACTAAATTGAGAATTCATTGCATTAAAATTGTATTAGGAATTAATAGGTTTATATATTTTTAGCCTATTTTCTACTAGCACAAACCAGAACAGCTTAATCGAACATAAATACGAATGTATCTATAACCTTTAAATAATTTGTATTTTGATATTGGCTTATGATTCTTTTATGCAGTTGTTGGTTGCAGTTGTAAGCACCTACAGGTATGAAGGAGACGAGTTTGATGAGAGTCTGGCTCATTTAGAAGCAAACATTCTCCATCAATTAATTGAGAATAAGGCTTTTAACGACGATGAAATCGTAAGAATTTTATGCACAAGAAGTAAGAAGCAGCTATTTGCGACTTTTACTACCTTCAGAAACACTTATGGCACGACAATTACCAAGGTGATATCCGACAAAATACAAGTAGAAAGAACGCATACATCCTCATTCATCACAAATTTCTATTCCAAAAGAAAAAAAAAATTGTTTTAATATGTAAGCATATGAAGGTAGAGATAAATTGGCATTTTTTTGCATTTTGCAGGGGTTATCCTCTGATTCAAGTGATGAATACATGGTAACACTGCGCACTACCATTCGTTGCATTAAGAACCCCAGAAGATACTTGGCAAAGGTACCTCCAGTCATCAAATTATGTCAGTCATATTCTCAAGTTCATGGCTTACTATATGTTAAATAACTTCTATTAAACATGTATTCACTGCCTCAGGTGTTATGCTACGCCTTGAATGATTTGGTAGCTGAAGAACATGAACTGAGCCGTGTAATCATCACTCGAGCAGAGAAGGATTTAAACGAAATCAGTGACCTTTACTTCAAGAGAAATGGTATCACACTTCAGAATTCCGTGGCTAAGAAGACATCAGGAAATTACAAGACTTTTCTTCTTGCTCTGTTAGGAAACAATTGGGTTTAACCCATTTATGTTAAATGGGGTCGGATTACTATCTCTATGCTTGAGAAAAATGTCATTTTCAAAACCAATAAATAAATTCAACTGATCTTGGTTTACGTGCATATAACACGTTTGACCAATAAATAAATTCAAGTTTGATTCATATAACACCTTTCTTCCAATACCTTTGAATCGAAGTCGTATTCCTCTGAGTCTGTTCTTCAAAAGGCAGGAATATTAATAAATAAGACTGCAACAATGTTGATAACTTGAAAGAAACCCCAAGAACATTAGGAGCAGAGAAAAACAACACAATTTAATGAAATACTAATAACCACCATGCGTGACGAGCTTTTCACCAACACGACAAAGCACGTGTCTTTGGGATGTAAAGATAACATGGAAAGATAAAAGGATTTATTTCTACAACCCATTTATTTATGGGCATGTAATAATGAAATAGAAAAAAGGCAGAGTCTGCAAGAGAGAACGATAAAAGTTATCATTTTTTACCAATATCTGAGTCATCCCTATATATCTGTGCAGTGTGTTGTTAGTAGTATTCACTAATGACCAAAATACAAAATTTACTGTACATGCAAAAAGTACACCTTCCCTGCTACAGAGGGTATCATCAAAATTGCAAATACTATTTGCACATTTCTTGAAATACCAAGCAGACACTACTCGACGAAGTAAACTTTGTCCATTTTCTGATAATATTTTCCACTATCCCAGTGTCCAGGCTCTGAAACATGTTCTTCAATCATACAACGCCGAAAACGACAGGAGAAAAGCAATAACCAGAATAAGCCCAATAAGACATTCTTGTGTACAACTATCCCGTGACTGACCACACCTTAACCTTCACCAAAGATCATCAACCACAAATTTAACGCATTAACTACGAAAGACCTATTGATTAAAATAAAGAATCTCATATAGCAAAATATATCAATATACATAGACACACAGAAACCAAAACTTGCTTACAATATCCGCTTCAACTATGAAACATTTCAGAATCAAACAATTTCAAGGGCGATAAAGAGACTATATGTACAACTTGATAGCAGAGCAAGAATAATCAGGCTTGAAAACATGTTATAACTTGCCAAAGAATAAAGATGATGCTATGCTATGCTAACAAGTGTAGGAAAAAAGTAGAGTATAGTAGCACACAAAGTCATTTCAGTACACCAGTAGCATAAAACATTTAAACACGCCCTAATAATGAGCGGAGTTACAGAGTTCAAGTGTTAATCAAGCTTTTTTACTGAAGCTAATCATAACCGTTTGTGTGTGTGGATTCATGCAAGAGAGTGAGATAAAATTGAAAAAATACCTCAAGGCCAGGATATCACTAGATGTGCTAGAGCTATCATCAGCTACTTCTCTCTCTGTTGGTAAAGTTTTCATGTTTAAATTAAGTCTGCTTTTATAAATTTTCACATAACCTGTTTCAAAGAGCAGCTTGCCATCTCATGTCCCCTTTCATCTAAATCATTTGAATCTAAATCCAATTTTGCATTACAATTAAATCGATTATTCACCCTCCTATTCTTTAAAATCACTTTTGATTCCTTCATCAACTTGATGTACTTCTTCCTCACCCTCAGTAGAGGATGCTCCTCAATAGCTGATATATTGCTGTAAGCTTCTTTAAGAATGACTGTACAAGTTTTGTTATTGAAAGATAGATAAAACATATGGGGATGCCGCTCAAAAGCTCTATGCATTTTCTGTGGCAACCCAAAATACTTCTTGAGGCAAAACAGCTTCTTCCTCTCAGCTGAATGTTCAACAAAAAGGGAAAGTAGTTCATGAAGAACTCCCACAAGTCTTTTCTCTGCTACGTCACTATTTGGATCCAAGTAAGAAAAATCATCGTAAGGTGAAATATAAGGAAGCTTCTGAAATTCATGTAGCCAGCTCTCAATTTTCCTCCTCAACCTTAAACCCTTTGATGGGTAAAATGGAAATTCAATGGCTTCCATTGGACCCCCGGTGTACAAACCTCTTTTCATGGCATTTTTCTCCATTACAGAATAAATCTTTTCTCCACTGTCAAGAGCCAACCCTTTCAATCCATCTTCCATCTCCACAAACCTGAAATACTCATCAAGATTTTGCTTGGGGTGCTGCAGAAAATCATTAGGCAACCCCAAATACCACTGCATACCCTGAATTATCTTTAAAGGTAGGACATTATCTCTGGTCATCAATATCATCTTCCCCAACCTGGACCTTAACTCCTCTCTGCATTCTTCATATACTCTCTTCTCGTCCCTGTCAATTTCGGCAGCTTCTGGTGTCAACCTGAACCAAGGAAGATTGTATTTGGGACCCGTAAACTCCTCAAAGATGGACGGATATTGCCTCATAAATCTTGCAACCTTCATGGGCACATCTAACTCTAACCCCCTCTTAGACACTGCAGAGATAGGAATGCACCCATTGGGATCCTGGACAATGCAGTTTTTCAGGGCAATGATAGGCTTGAGCTGAACGGACTCATGGATTTGCTCAATAGAGTCATAATATGAATCCTTTTTCCATTTCATATACACATTCACATAACTGTACCTCTGGAAGTACAAGAAAGGATGACTCTGGACCTTGTCATTTATGGAGAGTTTGACTGTTTTGACGGCAGATTTCTTACAGTTGAAGAACATTGAGAGAAAGAGAGAGTTTGAGCTGGAGAAGATTAAGGGAAAGGAAATTATTCAGTAAAAAAGTAGAACACAAGAGCAAGCCTCTAAAACAATAATCAAATGATGACTTTAGTCAACAAACATGATGCACATTCCAAAACAGAGCTAAAGCCAAGTAGTAACAGAGGAAGTAACAATGAAAGCGGGTAAACGAGAAAAGAAAAAATCCAGAATAAATAGAAAACTAAATTACTAATTGCCCAAAAGTTTAATTTGCTGCAAACCCAAAACAGTCACCAGCAGAAAGAACATCAATTCAAATTTGAATTACATCAACAATTGCTACAATGGAAGAGCAATTCCTAAAAATTGAGAAAAGGAAAACCTAATTGGAGGGGAAAGTCGGTTGCCAAGCGTGGCTGCTGTTGCACGGTGGTGCTACGCCGGATTGGGCTTTCCCACCTATCAAGAGCCCATGGGCCACGGGGCTTGGGGGATAGTCCACTATTTTAAAAAAAATTGCATTTCCAGATGAAAAAACCCGTTCAATCTTTTATATTTAAAAAAATATATTTTGAAATATAAAAGTTATATTTTAGAATATCCTTTTCAGAATACAAGAACGTGAGCCAAGAGTTTTATAAATGCAAAAATAAAAAATAAAAAATTAGGAATATGATTTCCTGCAGATAAAAAATAGTTGCAATACGGCGCAGTTTCAAATCCACATCCACTTAATTTTATTTTTCATTATTCTGTTTTGTTTTTATGCGTCAAAATCTTATTTTTTTGGTTCTATTATATAATAAAAATAAATACTCGTATGTTTAATAAATAATTCAACGTTGATTTCATAGCATATAACAAAAATAAATGTTATTCATCATTCTAAAGCATAGATGATGAGAAATAAAAAAGAAAACCTTTAAATCCAATTTTGTGTATTTTGTTTTTGTAAAAAGATGACAATTTCTATCTTAAGCATCATATATCATATATTATAGGATAAAACTTTGCTATGAAAATTTTAAATATTAAATAATTTTTTCAATTTTTTATTATTTTTATTTTTCTAAAATTTGAACGTATTTTGTAACTCACTCTAAAATTTAAATAAAATTTTATATCTTTATCACTAATAACGATTTTAATACAGTGCCTAAGCAAAATACGTATAAAGTTGAAAGAGAAAAGAGTTATAAAAAATTATAAATTTTCAAACTCATGAAAATAACTAAAGTCCAGTTGATTTCTTAAACATATAGCTTGTTTCATGAACCGTTTATTTATCATAAAAACAAATGAAAATAAAAGAAAAGAAAAAGTTTTCCCAAACGTAGTCATTAGATGCATGGAATTAACTACTTATTAACTCTGATACTTTCCATAATATGTATTACTTATGTTACTGGGAGTTTAATATTTAAAGGGCAATTTAAATAATTTTTTAATAAACTTTCACAGAAGTAAAACTATTTCTACTTAAAAAAAAAACAAAAAATCAAATTTTTATTTTAACTTTTCAGACATAAAAAATTGCCAAGTAAATATTAGTGGCAACTTAGCATAACTTGATTTGTCTTATCACATATCAGGAGTTTTTTAAGTTACAACACTTCTTGTGTTGTTACTGATTTATGTTTACTAAATCTTTCCTCTAGAACAAGTTATATATTTTTAATATTTGAATACTTAACTAATTGTTTATTCTAAAACTTACAACTTAATGCATGCTTATATATATATATATATATATATATATATATATATATATATATATATATATATATATATATATATATATATATTTTGTATTCATAGCTTATCAAATTTATGTAGTTATATTTTTCTTTTCACTTTTTAAATATGTATTTGGTTACGTTATTAAAGTATATTTTCACAACCCCAAATCATACCACTTTAAAAAATAATATATTTTTAATATTATAATAATAATTTTAATTTATTTTCATTTTCATTAAATTATTTTATAATTATTATATCGACAAAAATGGATTATTTATTTATGAGTTGTCAAATATCACTTCTCTTACTTTAATATATATACTTACATTGGTGAAAACTGCATCTGCAATTACTCTTCCTTATATTGTTATCCTTTATCTCGGGGGTTTATAGTTGTGTTTTTAAAATCGGTTGTTTGAAGATATTTAATACCACAATCAAACACATCCTAGTTTTGGTTCAAATCTATACTATATATAAATTGAGGGATTTCAAGGGGAAAGTTTTGTGACTTCCTCAAACAGAAAATTTAAAAGAAAAATGTAAAAGAAATTATTTGCAAAATTTACTACTGAGAGAGAAAAAAAGATCACATGTTAATATGTGATGCACTACACTAACAAACAAAAAACACGCCTCCTTTTCTCTCACACACCTCAAGTATTTTGCCTTTTGCTTCTTCGTCTGACCTCATGCTTATGTTCCATTCTACCTCACTATCACACGTCTCAAACCTCATCCACCATCCTCAATTCTCATATCTCAACATCCTAATATCATAAATATACTTTCATCGCACACTTTCTACTTTCATCTTTTAATTCAAATCTCACAATTGTGTTTTTTTAATCTGATTTAGTTTTTTTTTTTACAAATATAATCTCAATTTAGGGTTGGATTTTTTAAAATGGGCTAAATGGAAAACCTAAACCTAACTTAAAAACATGATTTATCCAACTCTTTCTTCTAGCATCGATTTAAGGTTTTTAAACTAGATTAAATTCCAATCCTAAACATAAGTAGCTTAAAAATTTAAGTGATAAAAGACCATTTGAGCTATAATACATTGAGTCTCATTACACTGGACTTCAAAACCTAAAGAATCATCTAGATCACAATACATTGAACCTCAATCAAAGCCCAAGAGCTAAGAGATAGAAGAGGAAGTTTTCCTAAGATCACTCCTTCTTTGAAATCTCTCTTATTAAAATCATCTTCTATCTCTTTACTTTGTATAAAATTGTAAAATTGTAGAACATGTTTGACGCAACACACAAGACATGGTCCAAGAGCTTGATATGATTACATAAAGAGAACCATGACCACCCTTCACTCATTCCACTTGATTGCACATCAAGGGGACTTGGTTGCACATGCAAGAAAAAACTTTTAAAGTTTTGGAAGCTATAAAACATTTTCTTAAATATTATAATTGGTGGTATACAACTTTCATATGTAATAAAGTAGAGTATAGTTAGTTTTAATTGGTCAAGTTATTTTTCTTGATAAAACTGAAATATCCTGAGAATTTATGAATACTATTTTAATTGCATCTCATAATATTGAATGTTATACACTAAAGATACTTTTTATGTAGTAGTGTGTCATCTTAAAAGAAATGGTAAAAGTAACTTTAACAAATATTCTTTTGTTAAAGTTGAAGAAAAATTATAAAGGTTGAGAAATAACAAACGAAATAATTAATGTTTTATGAAATTTTTTTGTTGTATTTTTGATTTATGTTCAAATAATGTTGTGGATTTTTAATTTTTTATTTTCTCATATGATATTTTCTTATTTTAATAATATTTGTTTATAATTCAACACATCTTTATATATATATATATATATATATATATATATATTCTAAATAATTATTTAAAATAATTATAAGATATATGCTTACATAATTATTTATGAAAACAAATAATATGTTATTTTTCTTCATATAAAAGATGTTTTTTACTATTTTTTTCTATCTAAATTTTGATGCAAACATTATTTAGTTATTTAATTTAATCATGTTTGAATATTGTTTAGGATTTTTTAAAGTAGGAAGTTTCCTGGATAAGGATTAAATCAACTGTATTATTGTAAACAAAATACCAAAATAAGTTCCTTCAACTTGTTCTTAGAAATATAGTATAAAGTTTAAAAATTCTAAAGAGGTATAATATTACCGTAATATTTAATAGCTCAGATTTATTTATTGTCTTATTTATATGTTTTTATTGTCACATAAGAAAGCACATTTACAGTTTAGACTACTATCAAACATATTATGGATGATGCTAGGTTCAAAGTGTGATAAACATGTCATGAAAATGAAAGTGGTTAGGTATATTGTTATAATTTTACTTTGTATTATGTACTTTCATGTTTATTATCATGCAATTATTGAAATGCCTTATTATTTGTTATATAACATGAAAGAATATCACTCTATTTTTAAACTAAATACAACTATTTTGTTGTTTGTACAATGATCATTTTTAAACAATTACAACTTGTATTTGTGGTAAGTGTCCACTCCATTAAATGTATGTTTTGCTTGATATAAGATATCTAAAAAAATGGAGTTACCTTTACAAGGCTTGATTCTAATTTTTGAGTATTATAAATAAAACATGATAACAATATTTTGGTCGCACAAAATATTAATAAAAAAACAATAAACAAGTTGTTAAACTAATCCAATATTGTAGGGTATGAATCTCATATACCATTCTCTCTAAAACAGTAAATAGGGTATGAATAAAAGAGTGAAACATAAATAAATTGATGCAAAATGATAAAAAATTAAACTTAAATTGTTATAGAATATTAACGACAATTAAAATTAAATGGAAACAGAATTTAAATAACTAAAATTTATAAAATTAAAATAAAATATTTTTAATTAAAAGTGCAAAAGTTAATAATTGCTTTAAAATGAAATAGTGTAGTAATTAAATTTGAAATTTTTAGAAGCGATGACTCTAAAACTAAATTGAGAATTATAATAGAAAAAGAGATGAATTGAAAATGAAAATTAAGCACTACTCGGAATAAAAATTCTAAATAATTAAATAACATAAATTAAAATGAGCACTGAATGAATAAAGTAAATAGAATAATATAAATTGGAAAATTCAATAGAAATTGCAAATTAAATAAAAGAGAAATAAACCTGAAGTGGAGCAACAAGTAGATGAGCTTGCCTAACCGAAAACCGAGAACATAAAAGAAAATGAGGACGAGACTAAACAATAGTTCTCACCTCGAGACTAGGAGATTATGATCGTGTTGTTGTCATAAGACCTATGTTTATAGGGGTTTGAACAAGAGAAATTAAACCTAAAATTAATTATAATAAAATCAAATATTTCCAAAATAAATAATTACAAAATTGGATTGTTGAGAAGAGAAATTTATGGGACTAATTTGGAGAAAATAATATGCTTATTTCCTATTTTGAGTGATCCAACATTGATTTACATTTAATAATTGATTTTTGCTGGCCTTCAATTTAGTTAAATTGGATTCCCACACCAATTAATTTGCTTGATTTAAAATTTTCATTTGTAATGTTTTGCAAGTAGGCTGCACAAACAAACTTAGGCTTCCGAGAAGAGTGAAGTTTGACGACATCATTTTGGATATTTCTTTTTATTAATTTGACACATCTCAAATTACCTTTCACACAAAAGAAAAAAAATATGTAATTTGGACGTATGCATGTATATTTGGTATTATGCTAAAACTATACAAAATACAAAAAATTAAGAAAAATTGAATTATATTATGCTTTTAATGAAAATATGTTAAATAGATGGTTTATGAATAAAATAATTAACTTAGAAAATATTATTAGGTCAAGAAATAAACAGTAAAATAATATTCATCAAAACACTAAAGATGAGTTTCTATAATTTACTCTTCGAAACACAATAAAAGATTTAAAAGACTAAAAAAGATTTAAAAGACTAAAAAAGGTACCGTAATCACATTGTATGATACATATTATGATAAAAAATAATGTATTAGTTTATTCATATCAACTCATGTTATTCATATTAGTTTTTACACAAAACAATTTTTCTAGTTTTGAAATTATAAAATATATTATTTATGATAACGATTGATATTATACAACTTATGTATGAAATAAAGAACTATCCATAGTTTTAAATTGAAGCTCAATATTTATGGGTAAATATTTATTGTTTCCTAACTGAAGTCTACCAATCTTTATATATATATATATATATATATATATATATATATATATATATATATATATATATATATATATATTTATATATGAATTTTGTTGTTGATGGATTCATAATCTTCAATGCAAAAATTGATCATTTGTAAAACGAGTTTCATTTATAAATTCTAGAGTAACATATGTTAGGATATTTTACTTTATTTATAATTTTATAATTTTGGTATTGGTTCAAATGAAATTGAAACTGACTATTTAGTTGATAAGTACAATTTACATTATTTTTATTTGTTTTATTATTTAATATTTACTATGTCTTACAAGTGTGTTTTTTTAGAGTAGATGTAATGGAAATATTAAAGAAAAATGGTAAAAAAACAAAGTTTAGGGTAAAGTACACGTCATTTGTATAATATGTTCACAAGCTACATGCATTCCTTATCTCTGGAGATATTTAAAATCATATTGTTATTATACAAGCTGGGAAGAAGATATTCAAAATTATATTGATTGTATAAAGATAGTTTTCAATGCTTAGTGTGAATAAGCAATATAAGCAATATAAGTAATTTTTAAATTTCAATTAAAGGTTTTTTAAATTATTGTGGTTATAATATAAATTTTATATTTTGTTATTCACCGGTCGTAACATGAGAATTTTAATAATAAAAATTAAATAATAAAACAATAAAATCACATTATACAAATAATAAAAATTATAAATTCCTATGTATTCAATCATAAATGTAGTTAGTTAACTGCAAGCAATTATTACATAATTATTAAATTATCATATAACACTAAGCTATAAACTTGTGTACTTTTCTAGATGTTATGCTCTTTTTCTTGTATGATGTTTGAGAATATGGAGTCATCTCAAATATTGAGCCAACTTTTTGATATCTCTAAACAAAGCATTAGATATAAGTTTATTCATATATGTCTAATTTGTTCTTATTTACGTGTCATTCAACTTCATATTGTGTGATGGTTAAGAAATAGGTTGATGATGTATAAAGAAACTCAAAATAGCGTTAATGTACAATTTCACAAAGTGAATCTTTTTCAAGATATTTATTTTACTATAATTATTGATTATTTTTATGATGATAGTAATTAACTAATATTTCATGTTTCAGAGTTACTTCAAATAGGGTTTCGCACAAATTCACTCGCCCCAAATACAAAAATAATATATATTTTAAGGGTTCATTTTATCTATTAGTATATTTTCTTGAATTGAAGTATTTCTAACAACTATTTCTTTGTTGCTATAGTTTTAAAGAACAATGTATTGTATTTAAACAAAATGTTAATAAATGTGATTCCTAACTCCTGCATATATTCAAAATGCTGTCATTTATAAAAAGTTTTTTTTTTGTCAAAATTATTTGATTCATTTATAGTTTGATTTTTTTTTTATTTATTTATTTACTCTGCATTAAAAATTTCTATCCAAATATCAAGTAAATTGAAAAAGAAAACTAGAATATTTGAGATTAGACAGTCAAAACTGTTATAGAATGAATGTAAGGTGTGAGAAAGAATATCTAGAAATAATATTACTTTATCTTGATATTTTGAATACATAAGTAGAAAAAATTATATTTGATTATTAGATCTTTATGTGTTATTTTGTTGAAATATCAATGAAGAAAATTAAATATTCTAAATTCTTAGATCTTTTAATGGTTTATAGGTACTATAATACCAAAAGAGAGTTTGTAAAAATACAAGAAAATAAAAATAAACATTACTTGTTTAATGACCGATGAGTAAAATTCATACATTATTTAGACTAAATCATTATTTTTAAATTGAATTATGTCTAATAATAACTTTTTTTTCTACTTAAACAATTTTAAAGTAGAATGTACTTTATTTGAGGATGTTCAAATTGCTGAATTCTTTGATTAAAAAGATATTTTTATTATAAAGGTATTTAATGTCATATTAGTTTATTATTTTGTTCTTTATTATAATTTAAATTTTATACTAAATATATATAACAAGATAAACAAATTATATGATAAATAATTTTATACTAAATATATTTAATGTCATTTTTTTCTATTTTATACTAAATATATAACAAGATAAACAAATTATATGATTTAAAAAAATTTTACTTGAAAGCTTTCTACATTATTGTAATTTTTAAAGTTTTTAATTATTGTTATAATATTTTTATATAAAAAGTTATTCAATTTATTATATTTCAACTAATTTAATCAATATTTAATTTTTTAAGTAGTAATTTTAAATTTAATTATATATAAGAAATTAAAATTTAATTAAAAAATTTATTAAACATTTTATCTAAAATTTAAAATTTGAATAAATAATATATAAATTAATATTATTTTATTAATTTTACACCTTAATGTAAAATTTATACATAGAATATATTTTTATGCAATTATTGATTAAATGTATAAAAAATATTATCTTTTAAAAGCATTAATCATTTTTAATTGAATACCTAATTTTTAAATTTATTTTTCTATCTATTTTATTTATATTATATAGAATAAATATATAATAATTATATTAAATAATGTATTGAACATTATTGTTTATTTAAATTTTATAATAAATTTGTATGATTCCCATGCATTGCACAGGTAATAAAACTAGTTTAGAAAAAAGAAAATAAGTAATAAGAAAAACACAAATTTCTAATAAATTGTAGACAATAATAAAGTTTATCAATACTTGAGCTTATCCCGAGTTGCATGCAAACATAGAGCAAATGGAACATAATTTATAAAATGAGTTTATTCATGCAGTTGGAAACAACTGATCAAACAAGTGACTAAAACAAAGTGATTAGAAGCTAGAAAGCGATAAAAAGTTGATAAGAGGAACAAAGTTTGATTGTCTATCAAGATCTCTGCTCTTATTTGATGGGAAGCTTGCAGATAGGTTCTTAACAATAAGAGCCATGCTCACATGCTTCCACTTCTCCATGCAAGGATCTTGCAGACGAAAACACGGGGAAATTACTTCACTTTCTTGATTCTTGCCATGCAGTTGTCAATGGGCCTTGTGTGAGGTAGGAATTGCAGAGGGGCAAGTGGATTAAGCTGTTCAAGCCTGTGGCAGTAAGACATAATAACATGAACATTTGTCCAAAGAAATCAAAGCAAGATGAAGTAATAGATGTAATGTGAGTGGCTTAAAGAGGGCCAAAAAATGCTTACTCGTAATTCAGCAGAAAATGATGAAGGAAAACTGAGATTTCCAGCTTGGCAAGATCATTCCCAGGACACAGTCTAGTTCCTGCTCCAAAAGGAAGAAATTCTCCAGCCTTGCGCACCTCCTATGATTTATGACGATCATCAATCAATAAAATAGTCAAAATATATCATAAAACTCCCATGTAAGTACAAAGCATATACAACATATATTAATTTGATCAATTCAAATGTGTTGACTAAAACTTTGCAACTTACATTCCATCTCTCCGGATTAAACTCCTTTGGATTAGGATATATCTCGGGATCAAGGTGAACAGACCTGAACCAGGCCATTACTTTCCAACCTTTTGGAATCAGGTAACCTGTAACATCAAAATGCAGTGAGTATGAAATACTTTAATCATGCTGCTTTAACATCTAGCTAGTTCAAATGAAATATTCTAGAAGTTGGAGCTTATTATGTCATGAAAGAATACAATCACACCAGGCCTATCATTCATAAAACAAGTATAATTATAATATTGATTGGAGTGACAGATTATGATCTGAATATAGACTAACCATTGATATTGACATCAGCTTTTGCCTCTCGAAAGACCATTAGTGAGAATGTGACCACCCGCAGTGTTTCATCAACCACCTGGGCAATGTAAACAAATAAAAATGGATACATCAGATAATCACAAGACATCAATTATAAGTTGAAAATACCCTTTATTAAACAATAGGTCATCTACCTTGGAAAGGTATTCCATCTTCCGAACTTCAGCTAGTGATAACCCTTTCTGAGTTGGAGGCCTGTTCCTTATAATTTTTTCTTGTTCTTCCTATTAAAGCAAATAAATAACGGTAGAAAGTAAGGTAAAGATTTTGGTAAAGGTGATGTTGTAAATAACACGTTTAATGTTCATGAGCAATTGGAAATTTAGATGAATCCATGATAATTAATCAGAAACTTTGTACCTTAGCCTTCTTGAAATGTTCTGGATGCCTTTGGAGGAAATAGGTTGCCCACGTGGTAATATGTCCTGAGGATTCATGACCAGCATTCAAGTACATCAACATGATATCGATCACGTCATCGTCACCCAATTTTTTTCCATTTTCATCTTCAACATCTATCAGAGCATCCATCATATCTTTGGCCTTTTTGCCAGGTAATCTTTCCCTCCTTTCATTTCTTCGTTTATCCACAACAGATTGAAATATGGCAAGTAGATTTTTCCTGGCCTAAAAGTCAAAACAGAAAAGATAAAATTAGACATTGAATTATCTCACTATTCTGTAGCTAGTACAATGTAAAAACACTGCTCTGCATTTCATTCACATTAGAGGCAGATTAATTAAATTATCACTAAAGTTTATTTATCATACATAAATAAAAAAAATATTGATACAGTTTATTTAATAGTAATAATGCTGAATAAAATTGAATGTTACAATGAAAATTAAGTTACCTTGAGTGCTTTATGGAATGCGAATCCAGGAAGGTTAATTCGCATGGCTCTAACTCCATAATTAAGTTTAGTGTATTCTTTTTCCAAATTCTCCATAACATCTTCACTTTCTGCACCAAGAAAAATATGTATAATGATTTTGAAAGTGAGCTTGCGCATCTGAGTCAAAAACTCAATGTCCCCCATGGTGGTCCATTTCTCCAATGAACTTATGACAACTTCTTCAATATATTTGATGTAACAAGAGAGTGCTTCATAGCCATTGATTGAAGCAGATGTTAAGCGCCTAAGGCGTCTATGTTCTTCGAAAGGTATTGCGATAAAAGACTTCTCTCCCATGAGTTCCACAGTGGAACGAGGCCATCCAAGACAGAAGTTGTCATCATCTGTCAACACCCTTTTGCATGCTTCTGGTGTTGTCACTATTACACTCGGATTTCCAAACATCAACACCTTGTATATCCCAGTCTTTCCATACCTACATTGTCAATTGCATTCAAATGTATGTTACATTCTTACTTCATTGTTATCAATGTGTATTTATTACAATGTTATAACTGCAGATACTGTAATCACCTGTGCATATTGATTGATGATGTATACACAAAATATTTAAAGCAACAGTAATACATTAATATTTGTTTAATAATGTAATATTTTTTATTAATTAAAAGGGAAGTAATTGACATTCATTATGGTGTCAGACAATATTCAAGGTGAGAGGTAACAATGTATAAAACTGTGTAAAGCAGAAAGCTTAGTATAACCTTTCTTATAGTTATTATAAAATAATTGACAAATCTTAAATAATTAGAAGTAAAATGAAAATTAATAAATGTTGTGTTTAATACTCAGTTTTTTTAGAAAAATAATTCTCAAAAGTACTGCACCCTGTTTGGTCTAAGCAAAATAACAAAAATTTTGTTTGAGAGTGGAGGATGATTTTGAAGTTACAGGTTGAACCCCTCAACTTGATGCTTGTGTTTTGTCCCTCAAATTGTCACAAGGAGACAAAAATCACCGCAACAATGTTATTTTACAGGTGTAAGACTAGACTGGGCCATCTTAATCACGAGATGGCGTGGGGCCACATTCACATGCTATCGTTTGTGTCGAGAGCAAAACGTCAAAAACAGAGGACAGAGACAAATTAATGTATGCTTTCAAACAGTTAAATGTTGATGGTGATATATGTTTTCAAAATCCATGTAAAACTTATGTATGAATATCATTAAAAAATGGATTTTTCACTCCAAAACCAATATTTAAATCAAGAAATTAAACTTGTTCTTATGTTGCATATATTTAGCAAAAGAAATGACATATATGATACAAATTCAGCGCTGTAAGTGTTAATCTCTGGATCCAGGGTAGCTGAGATCATTCATGGGGACAGTGTTGAACTTTTGTTCAAAGCCTTGATTTTAGAAGAAAACTTGCATGCATTTGAAAAAGGGTAACGACATGTACACAACTGAACGGGGATCATACATACAGTTCAAAATGAAATTTAATAATAATAATAAATACAAATAAACATAAAAAAATAAAAAAAAAATGGAATTGTCAAAATATATTTTTTATGATATCATAGTTAGTTTTATCCATGAGGAGTTTCACTACTAAAAGATTAATTATTTTTTACAAATTTTCTTGTAAATTTTTTTAAAATGTGTAAAACATTTATTTCTTACAATTTTTATAAAATTATTCTCATAAATGTGAAAATTTTGAGTAGTGTTTGAATAACACACATGAGAGTGTAAGTTCTAATCTAACTCATTATGAAAAAAAAAAAATGTTCTGACAAACTAAAGTTTAGATAATACATATGAGATCATGAGCGAGATCTTAACAATGGAGAGTCTGGATAGAATGTACTGAGATCATAAGTTTTAATCTCAATACACTTATTACAAACAATTATGTTTAGATAACATGCATGGTATCATAAGTTTTAAACCTAACTGAGTACCATTACATATTAGTAAAAATAAGTTTTGAAACTATGGATGAGATCTTGATAATAAAAGAGTTTGGAAGACATGCATGAGATCATAAGCTACAATCTAACCCAGTACAATGGTATAGTATATATAAGAACAGATGCAGGGTAGCAACGAAAACTGGGTTGATGAATATATTGAATGGTGAGAATGTAAATGAAAAGGGTGGTAATGGTATACCTGGAGTAAAAGGAGTCCATGAAGGATTCAGGGTTAATGGTCTTGAAGGCACGGAGGAAGGACCACATGTTGCCGATTATGGGCCACCCCATGTCACCAGGGGGAAGAAAGTATTGCTTCCCACCCAGTTTGTATTCATACAGAAACCAGTTTACATTCCTGAGAATGAACCTTAGGACTAGAAGAGCACCAGCACAATACACTAACCACTTTGAACTACCCTCCATGATCAACATTCACCAAAACTCTCACTGCTTGGCTTGGACAGCTAACTCACTCTCTTTTATAGGCAATATTCAGCTATGCAGGAAGAGAAAGAGATCGTACAAGGGATGGATTGGACCACAATTTGGAAATGACCAAATAGTAGGGGTCAAACTTTATCATTTATTTCTCTTCAAAAGTTGGAATTTTAAGAAATTTTTCAAAAAAGAGTTTAATTACGTCTTTAATTAGCAGGTTTAGAAGTGGGGATATACCAGATTCAAATGTTTAGTCAGAGAGAGATAATTAATGTGCATTGGATTGAGATTTTTAAGATTATTTTAATATAAACCATTATTATACTATGATTTATCATATTCTTGAAAAGATTTCTAGGATTAAGTTTTTCTCGTTTGGATTTTAATGAATTTAATTACACCGTAAGAATTTAAAATCTTTGAATTATCTTTTATGGAAGAATATTTTCTCTGTTCATTTATTCATATACTACTAGGTTAGTTAGTCATGAAAATTTTTGACTAATAATGTTTTTATAAGACACATAGATAAAAAAAAACCCTTCAACCACCAAAAGTCATAATGCCATCCATATTATTCTTGGTTTTAAAAAATTCTAAAGTAAACTGTCATGGAAAGAAATGGATAAAATGGGATTTAAGTATTAAGTTTGAATGTAATTATTTAATAGAATTGTTTTCTGTATTTGACTTAGAATTCAGTAATCAAGAAGTCCAGAATTCAAAATTTATTGGAGATATATTGATTTCTTAATGAAATTTAGAGGCTATGAAAAATACATTAGGAGTATCAGTTATATTCAAAGTGCAAAAACAACACTAAACATATGTCTTATTAGGAAGAGAAGAGAATGATTTACTATGACACTAATATTTTAATCCACTGCATAATTTGGCTCTTGTTATTGACTTGATACAAATGTGTTTAAGTATAAATTGGGCTTGACAATTTGTAGAGTTCAAAGTAGGTAAGAATTTAAAATTCGATTCATGACAGGAAAAAAAAAAAAAAAGACAACTAAAGTTGTTTTCAAACAGCTGTTCTAAGATCTTTACTAGGTAAGTCTCTAACTAATTCATGGACATTCATTGGATCTGTTTTTAAAATTACTTCAAAAATCAGTTTGTACCTACTATCATCACTTAAATTTCATTTTTTTAATGTCATCTTTCAATCCCACATATTTTTGAAGTTGTTTTTTTTTTCTATAAGTACATTTTTAAATATTGTCTCTAATAATAAGTGGTCATAAAAAATAAAAATAAAAAACATGTAAAATTAAAAGTAGAGCTGTGCCATATCTGACCAAAAGGTTGAATGATGGGTGCATGCAAGCTTTTCACTGCCCCAATGGATTATCATTGATTTTAGATCCTCTTTTCTTCCCAATGAATGTGAGAAGTTCCATCAAACAAATTTCATCTATTTAGTGTGCTTTCCACCTAATATTATATGTTCAAATAGAACTAATTTTGAAATTTCAAACAAAAAAAGAAATTAACAATAAGCAAGTTATAAACATTTGAAAGTTAATATATCTTGTAAAACTCAACTTGACCAATTTGTATCTTATCAACATGCTGAGTGTGGCTGCATGTCTGGCCTTTCACTGCCCCAATGGAATATCATTGATTTTCGATCCTCTCCTATTCCCATCAATGAATATGAAAACTTCCATTAAACATTTTATTTATTGTGATTTTTACTTTTTAATAATTCATTGATATTTAAATTTTAGAATTTAGTAAACAGGATCCTTATATAGTGTGTACACTCTTTGTGATAATCATTTTTGTTTTACAAATAATGTTCAACTTTTTTATTCCCATATAATAAAGATACTATTTCAAAATGTAAAAAAAAAGATTTTTTTTTTATATAAATTCTCTTTCGCCAAGTGAATGAATTATATTAAACTGAAATTTTATAATTTATAATTTTCATTTAATATTTTAAATTAATTTTTAGCTTGTAATCTCAAAAAAAAAAAAGAAAAAAAAACTGAAACAATTTTTTTTTCTTACGTTTTACTTATCCAAAATATATGTAAGACTCTGCATGTTTCTGGGTACATACAGAAGTGCAAAGAAAATTACCTTTTCAAGATACAATAAATGTATTATGTTATTTTCGAGATATAATATTAATTAAATTCTTTTCTTTTTCAATAACAAAGAATAGAAATTTTTTTGAGATCAAACATCAGAATAATGTAAATAAATAAATAATTTAAAAATAATATTTAAATAATAAATAAAATTATTAAAATAATATTTAATTATCAATTCTGTAAATTTTTCGAAATTGTTTTTTTCCCTAAATCTATAACTCGCAAGAATAATATTATTTTTTCCCATAAATACGAAGGTAGAAAGGAAATATAGAGATATAGCAAAAAGAAGTGCCAAAATTCTAACTCATCTCTAAAAAAACCTCTGAAATATAAAAATTACTATATTTTAAAATATTTTCAATGAAATAAAATATTACTAAATCTTGATTGTTTTTATTAATTTATTGTTAATGAAAAAAAGAGAAGAGGATATATTAAAATATATTTATTTAGTTTATATAAATTAATTTGTGATAACTTGATAAGAAAGACATATGGAATCCAATTTAGCAATAAAATGAAAAGAGTTAAACAGAAATAACATTAAAATCACTTTATTATTCTTAAAATAATTTATGATCGATTATGTGAATATGTATAATGAATTATGTATATGTTGAATTATTTATCTTTAAATTTAACAAAATTATTTCTATTTAATAATAATTATTCACAATTTTAAAATAATATTATGTAAAAAAGTTATAATAAAATATATTTTCATAAAACTAAAAAATTATTTTGAAATATATTATTATTATTATTATTATTATTAATAATTAGATACAGTTTGTGAAATCAATATTTTAATTATATGATATTTTAGTTATAATATATATATATATATATATATATATTAAAAGTATATAATAAATCTATCGTTTCTAATTAATAACTTTTGTAATATTTATATTATTTTATTAAGTTTTAAAATAATGTTATAACATATAAAGTTACATGGTATTTTTCAAATATCTTTTACAATTTAATAGTACTTTAATAAATTATAAAAAAAATATAAAGATGTCTAAAAAAATAAAAAAAATATTTTTAATTATATAAATTAATTTTAATTATTTTTTTATCTATTTTTTGAATAATTATTTTATATTAAATCATATCTTTATTTATATTTATTTATATTAAATATATATTAAAGATATTTTTATTCTTTAATTTTTTTATCAATTAAATTAAAATTATCTTTTTATTTATTTTTATTATTTTTTATCTAAACAATTCTATTTCTATTATATTTTTTATTGTTTCACTCTAACACAACAAAGACTAATAAAGATTGTGAACTTCATGTTTGTAGAAAGATGATAACATGATTCTTGTATTTATTTGTAATCTTTCATCACGTCGATGTATGGTTAAAAAATCAAATATTACCTATGAAGGTAAAATCGGTTAGATCTGAAAGATTTATTTATCAGTTCACTTAAAAAATGGGGGCAAATTGATGAATTTAGTCCATCACTCTGTTTTCTCTCTTATTTAACCAGATGGACAAAAAATAAGATAAAACAGGTTGATTTATTGAACAATTATAAAAAAATATTTATATATTAAAATTAAAATTAAAAAAATTATAATTAAAAATATTATTTTTTATTTATGTTACGTTATTAAAATATATAAATATATTATAATATAATAATTTAAATTATAAAAATTAAATAATTAAATTTAAATTATTAATTATAGGTAATTATTTTGACATAAAAATATAAAATTTTTTAATTTATTTAATAAAAATATTAATAAATAAATATTTAAAAATTATTTATATAATTAAAAATATATTTAAAAAATATATATATATATAAAGATAGACTCTACCGCCAACTTATAATTTGGCAGAACAAGCTAAGATTTATGGTCTATTCTGATTATGTCAGACTAGCTTGTCCTGTCCTATTTTTTTTTTTTTTATAAGTATAAGACAAGTTAACACCGAACAAACTGACTCATTTTACCAATCCTATTTGGTGGATTACTTCAATCATTTATCATTTGATGCCAATTATCATTAGATGTCTTGATGGAGTTTAACAGCTTATTAACGTGTCTTTCAGACTTAGGTTACTGAGAGTTTAATATTAAAACCAATTACAAATTTTAAATATGTTATACAAACATTCTTAGCTGTTGAACTTGAACTATTTCCATTTATCGGCTTGCATTTATAGGCAAGGTATAATAAGCGACAACAATTACTAGGTAACATAAGCTGTCCCATTATTAATTTATTACTGATAAACAGAGATGTTCATGATGACATTATTTGGGAACATTTGTTTCTGATACAAAAGATGAAATTTCATGAGTGCTATGCACATATTTTTTAAATGGGAATTTGCTTTTCTAAAGTTCCCTTTTACCTGATTGCTATCTCCAACTTAAATTCCTCTCCAATAAGCTGCGACAATTTTGAAACTTCCACAATGTCAAACTGGTAAGTGCTATCAGATTGTGTTTTCACAGCTGCTTTCCTCGTTGAATTTGTTCCCTTTACAATGATAAACTTTTTCCTTGCCAAATCCATTGTTTGCTTAGGTATCCCTAGCAGAGTCACCTTATTTATGGTCCATCTTTTGGCCAGCGCAAAGCTTCCATTAGTGACCTTAGATGTAACAAAAACACTATTGTTGTGTAATGTGGCATTAAAGCTTACCAAGGTCCAATTATCTTTCTCTCCTGCAGTGTCAAGGTTCTCCCCATCATCCAAATACACTTGTCCATGACTATTTCCACTTCCACTGATAACCACCACAAGTTGAAATGCAGTTTTCCGGGCTGCTTCAGTTGTCATTGCTTCTCCTTGCAAGGCCAAAATATTACCCTCCCCAACATGCACATTTATGTGATCAGGTGGAGCATCAAGAGTGATATGCTTGCCTGATTCTGCATTCACTGAATTTGAGACATTAAAGAGGTCAAACCAGGTTCCTTTAGGAAAGTATGCATCAACAGCGGTTGCCCCAGACTGTAGTACAGGTGACACCAGAACCCCTTTTCCTAATAGAAACTGTGAGTTTATTTCAAATGTTGTGACGTCCTCTGAAAATGAAAAGAAAAGGGGTCGTGCAATGGGTGTCCCTTTAGTATGTGATTCATACATTAGTGTGTAGAAATAAGGGAGAAGACGATAACGAAGGGCAAGCACTTTCCTAGCTGATGCTGCAACTGATTCCCAAATGTAAAGCTCCTGTCTGATGGAGTTTATTTCCGAATGATCCCTCGCAAAAGGGTAAAAGGCTCCCAACTACACTGGGGAAAATGAGGAGTTAAATATGTATACTATGCATTTCATAGTTTGCTCTTGCCTATTTCGACAGATCAAAGAAGTTAAACCATTCACTTAATTATAATTGTTCTCTTTTAAGTTTTATCTTAGAAAGCTACAGGTTTTAGTCCCTACACATGCATATAAGTTATGTTTTGGGAACAATAGAGAAGACTTTCTAGTGGTGTAAAACTATTACAAAAACTGTGTATGAATAAAATATTTAGCCAGGTGAATACTTTAACCAAATAAGAATCATAACACTTTTCCAAGCGTGGCTTTTGCACATTAAGATTAGGAAAGTAAGCACGTGAATTTAATAATAACATTCACACTAGTGTGTATAAACTATCCCAACATATTCCTGCATTTGAGAATCAATACCTGGATCCAACGCTGGCAAAGTTCTTCAGTTGTATTTCCACCAAAACCACATATATCTGCTCCAACCATTGGAATTCCAAAGAGTCCAAAATTTAATACGGACGGGATTGAGTATGCCAGATCATTCCATGTAGCAGCATTATCTCCTGTCCAGTGGGCAGTGTACTTACCAGAGCCAACAAAAGTTGATCTACTTAGGATGAATGGCCTTTTACCAGTTATATTCACTAATGCCTTGTTAGTTGCTTTGGCTTCTAGCAGTCCATACAAACTGTGAGCATTATACTCAGTGATATTACCATAGTGCAAAGATGTTGCTGGGACTGTTCTGTAATTTATGTGTTGTTGAACTCCTTTATTGTTAATTTTATAGGGAGGGTTATCGAGATTAGAATATGGAGTAGGAGGAGAAGTATTGAAATTAGATAACTCATTCATGTCAATCCAGAGACCATCAAAAGGAAGAAGGTCCCTAAATAATTTTATTTCCCCACCCCAAAATGCTTGGCTGCGGGGGTTTAGAAAATCAGTATAGTAAACTGGTCCAGGCCAAACTTCACCAAGATAATTTACTCCATTTCTCTTTATGTAGATATCAGCTTCCAAACCTCGAACATGTGTTGCATCTGTCTCATTTACGCTGATACCTGTTTCCGAAATTTGCCTCCAATTAATAAAAATTGCACAAATGCTTTGGTGAAGAGTGTGTTCTATATGAATGAAATTCTATGATGTCACTTAGTTACCAGGATCCAAGATAAGCACATATTTCTGACCGTTTTGGTGAAGAGTGTTAACAAAACTTCTCATCTTATCCAGCGGAAAATTGATGGGATCAAATGTAAAATCCTTATGTGCATCCATGTAATCAATATCCGTCCACATAACTTCAAGGGGTATACCCGCTTTTGCATAGTTGGCAACCACACCCTGGAGATCACTTACATTCTTGTAGCCCCATCGACACTGATGAAAACCTTCCCAACCAAAAGAGACAATCATCATGAACAGACACAGTATAGCAATTCATAAGTTAGATTTAATCAATGGGTCGAGAAATTATTATAGGTCTAAAGATTTGATTATGGTCTGAGACTATTATATGGCATTGTCCTAATCAATGACCATTTTTAATTTACTGGAAGTAGTAAATTAAAATCGATTATATGACACGTGCAGTGCAGATTGGAGATATTATTAGGTGGTGATGGACTACCTACCACCTGTCTATAATCTCCATCTATGTTTATGAGACAACATTAAATATCTTAAAATTTTTAAATACTTAAATATGTGTCATCTACATATTGATCTGGACAAAGAACATGTGGTGGTTTAACATCACCTAATCATTTCTGTGAAGAATGACCAGGATTATGATGGCTTATAATTATGTAATTACTTCTCTTATGTGCCAATTCACAAGTAATCAACGCAACAACATAGTCGTGGTCTTACCAAAGGACCAATAAGGCATGGGAGCAGGCCTGCCAATGAGTTCGGTGTACTGCTCCAACACCAGTTCTGGAGAGGATCCAGCGAAGAAATAGAGATCAAAAACCCCACCAATGACCTTATAAGTAATGCGATCACCATCATACACAATGTCCATTCCATTGCTGTTGAGCAGCAACACCCCATGAGTAGTGCCGGCCTTCACTCTTCCATCAGAGGAGGGTGATCTGACGTCCAAGTAAAAGGGGTGAGAGCCATAAAGGTTGACGTCCGGGGTGGCACTTGCAATATCTGCATTCCACAGTGTAAGGGTCTGGTTTGGTCGCAGCTTGAAGGAGCTCTTGGTGTGTTCCCCGAGGCCGTACAGAGAGGCTCTTTGTGGTGGGAGGGAGGAAGAGAGCTGGAGGTACTGGTCTTTGAAGACAAGAAAAGTTTGAGGGTTGGAAGGGTCTGGTGTGGCATTGAAAAGGACATCGTCGGAGGATTTGCGTGAGAGAGTGAAGCCAAATGGGGTGGTGTTGTGGAGAGTGAAAACAAGGTCTGAGTCTGGATGTGTGAGACTAAGAGAGTGTTCTGGCTGAGGGGAATCTTGTTTTCTGTTGAGGAAGCGAAGATGGTAACGATGGGAAGAGGAGTTTCTGGGAATTACTTCTTGTGGTATTTCCCATCTTTGGTGTTTGGAGTCCGTGATTCTTACTCTTAACCTATCCTTGTTCTCAAAACTGTATTTCAGAACAACAAATTATTTATATACCTAATAGATCATAGTTATTTAGGTAGATGAAGTGTCAAATTATAGTACAAGAGAAGTTAATGTTTCCAATTATGTATATGAGTAAATGAACAATAGTGAATAAGGCTAATTAATTAGTTGTTGTTGTTGTTGTTCATACCTGGTAGTGAGGGAGAGGTGTGGAATGTCAGGTCCAAAAACAGAGGATGGTTTGATGAGGTTAAGGTTTGCAATCAAAGAGTTGTTTATGGGATAATTGTTAGCAGATGAAATGGTGTAACCATAGCCAACAGTAATTTGTTCTGACAAGGAAGAGCAGATGAGACAAACACAGATAAGGAAGAGCAGTGGAAGTGGAGTGAGAGTGATCATACTTGTTGTGGTTTCAGTAGCTTGAATGTGAATAATGATAGAAAAAGATATTTATACACATTCACGTTGGAGTCACCAAGAGACTTTGGAGGACTTGAATGTATTGATTTGAAAGAATAGAATATATAAGAACTACTTTCATCTTCGAAATTTATTATAATTTTTTTAAAATAGTAATTTATAAAAAAAGTTAAAATAAAATAATTAAATTTTAATTTGTTATACTTAATTAAATTTAAACTTATTATTTAAAAGAAAATTATAATTTGATATGGTTACAAATAATAAAAGGAATAACATTGAATATAAAAATTATAATTATTAATTTGATATGGTTACAAATAATAAAAGGAATAACATTGAATATAAAAATTATAATAATAATTACAAACTTTAAAAATTATAATAGAGTAAAGTTTTTTCAGTAATTTTATTTTTAAAAAATCATATAATTGGTTAATCTCATTATAGTTGAGTCTAAATATTTTTTCATTAATAAAAAATATTTATTTTAGACACTTGAAAAAATGATATTTATTATGTACTTAAAAATACTAATTAATTAAAAGTGGCTTAAATTTTTATTTTTAAAAAAATTTATACCCATAAACTTTATTTTTTCATTTTCTTTCAGTAAAAAAATATTCAAGACTATATTTTTGTTAATTTTAGACACAAATTTTATACAAAATAATTTGTATGTAATATATATATATATATATATATATATATATATATATATATATTAACCAAAATAATCTTAAATTTATAACAGAAATAAATAGTACAAAACTTTTTCTTTACGAACAAAAAATATTTTGTTTAATCTAGGTACAAATTTTATGTAAATAAACAATTTTATGTGATAAAATATACATTAAATAATTAAAATAAACCTAAATTTTTAGAAAACAAAATATTTTGTCAAAAAAATTCATTCCCGTAAAATATAAATAAAGTATCTTATTTTCTTTTATGAATAAATAGTCAACCACAAATATATATATATATATATATATATATATATATATATAATCATTTAAACATTATTTTTATGTATTTAAATATATTAACTACACAGAAGAAATTGAAATTTTATCAGACAATAAATTATAGAAAAAAAAATTTAGCCCTTTAGACAAAAAAAGTCATCCTACGCAGTTTTTTTTTTTTTTTAGAAAATATTTTCATATATATATATATATATATATAAATTATATTTATATACTGAATTTTTTTTTTAAAAAGTTAAAATAATCATTAAGTTTTATAATCAAAAGTTCATTTCCGTAAACTATAATATTTTTTCTATTTGTTTTCATAAAACAATCTGGGCAATCCATGCATTACATTTTATTTTTTATATATATTTTGTTATATTATTTAAGTATTTTTTTTATAATTTCATGAAAATATTCATTTTTTATATTTTATATAATAAAAAATAATTTTTTAATTAATTAGTTAAGTTTAAAAAGGTGATTTTGTAAATGATATATAGTAATTAGATGAAAACTTAAATTTCTTTAAAATAGAATTATTTTGTAAAAAAATAATGTCAAATCAAGTATAAATATTTTTATTTCCTTAAAAAAAGTTATTATATTCTATGTATTATATTTTATTTTATAAATTAAGTTAAAAGATTATACTTTCATAAAAATATTTATTTATTATATTTTCTATATTTCATATTAAATAAAATAATTTTTCAATCAATTATTGAAGTCAAGAAATATAAATTCGTTAAAAGTATATTCAAATAAATTGTATTATAAACAAGTATATAATTTTTTATATTTTAATTTTAGATAAATGGTTTAATCCATAAGTTTGTATTTTATGATGTTTGATACTAGTTTTTTATATAAAAAATATTATGTAATTAAATATATTAATTAAGTAAAAAAAGTTTAATTTTTAGACAAAATTTTTAAATAAAATGTTTCATTCCATAAGAAAAGAATAAACAATCCTATTTACTTTTATAAAAATTAACATATATTAAATACTTGTTTTATATGAAATATATTTAACTTTATTATAAAATTAAATTCATACTAATTAGATAAATGAAGAAGAAATTATATTTAAAAAGGTTCATCTCATTAATAATAAGTGTTTAATTTTAAGTATATATTATAAGTGTTATAAATTTTTAATTTTAATTATATTTTAATTCTTATCTTTATAATAAAAATATATTTATCATATAATTAAATATATATTAATAAAAAATAAAGTTAAATGTTTAATTAATAAACAAAATTCTTTAATAAAAAGTTTCATCCGTAAGATAATAAATTAAACAAACAAAAAAATTACATAATAAATCTTTTTATCAAATTTTTGTTTCTTATATAATCATAATTACCTATACCGAACAACTTAAACATCAAATTCTATATCAGTGTTTTGATTCGCTCAACTCAATCTATCAATTTGACGGATAAAAAGGACGGAGTGGGTTATGTTTTAAAATAATATTTATATATTAAAATTAAAATATAAATAATTATAATTAAAAATATTATATATTTTTATTATATTATTAAGATATTTAAATATATTATAATATTATAATTTAAATGATAAAAATTAATTAATTAATTAAATTTAAATTATTAATTATAATTAATTATTTTAACATATAAATATAATATTTTCAATTTATCTAATAAAAATATTAATTAATAAATAAAAACTTAAAAATTATTTTATAATTAAAGATATATGTTTTAAAAACATATATATAAAAATATTTATGAAAAAAAATTTATTGATGGACTGATTCACAACAAATTAACATTTATACATTTCCTGATTATGATAGATAAATTTGTACCGTATCATTTTTATATTAACGGATCCGTTTTATTATCTATTTTATAATAAAAAAAAATTTGAAAATTTACCAAAAAAGCTGATAGAATTCAAATTTTATCATAAGAAAATAATAAATTATCGTATCTAAACAAAGCCAGTCAATATATTCTGGGACTAACCCTTTTTTGACAAAAGCAATCAGATTTTCCATTTTGATGCAAGCAACTATAGACCCATATTACATGCATTTCTTGAAAGACATACAAATTAGGAAAAATCTTTATATACCATAAACACCAAAGATTAGGAAAAACAAAATATAATACATAAAAACACAAAGAAAAGAAAACATGATTTCGTTTAAAAAACTCTAAACCCCACAAAAAGTAGAGAAAAATTGTAACCAATTACCAACAAAAATTTGACAATACTTTATTCGCATAAAAATCCTAAACACAACAAAACTAGAAAAATTGTAACCTAATACCCAATCGACAAAGAAAAAACAACTTGTAAACTGTGAAAAGAGAAAAATTTATCCTAATATGTAAAACACAAAGAAATATTGGAAAAATTTTAAAATTTGTAAATGGAAATTTGTTTGGGTGAATATTGAAAAGTGTATTTTCAGACTGAAGCTTGTTTAGAAAAGATGGAGATGATGGAAAAAAAAAAAAAAGGCAAAAGAAAAGCTTATTTTGTGCATAGTTGAGAGAAGGCGATCGAGCATGTGAATGTCAAAATTCTAAGTGTGTGGAGAGAAGGGTCTAATTGTGTAAAAGAGTAAATACAGATATAGCGGTTATAAGTTGTTGTATTTTTTCTTTTTTCCTCTAATTGAGATAGCTTAAAACTTATATAACTTTTTTTTTTTTATTTATGCTGAGAGTGTAAATACGTGTTATTTATATTATCTCTATTTGTATATTATATAGATAGATTATTATACAGCATAATTTAAAAAGTGTTGAAAAAAATAAAATTGCTGTGTTATTGTAGCAAAGATGATGATGAACTCTTATGTGTAACCCAAAATGAAGATGCTACCAAATTAGACGTGCACATAGAGTGATGGAGAATTTTGTGGCATCAACGAGAAAAGAGCACGTGGACCCTTTATACATATTGTTTGTAGGTTTAACTCGAGATTGTCATAATAAATTGTTTTCTTAGATATTGTTCCGTAAATGGATATTGTATAATTTAAAAGTTGAAATCTAATTTATATATTATTATTTTTATCTATTTATTGATTTTTTAAATAAAATTATGATCGACTAAAATTTTAAAATAATAATATCTTAAATATAAGAATTAATTATAATTATATTATTATGATAAATATTTTTATTTTAGGTAATATTTCAGAACGTGGATCGATAGTTTGATATTATTATAATAAATAAGAAATTGAGACAGTCATATTTTAAAGTATTAGATAATATTTTTTACATAAATTGAAACTAATAATAGTTTAATGTTATTAAGGACATTTTTTTTAACCGAATGTTAGATAATATATCGAACGTAAGTGAATACTAACGATAATTTATCATAACAAATATAACAAATATAAAAGATGATGACATTTTATTTTTTAAATGTAATATTAAATAATTTATTTATATATATATCCAAGATAATGAAAAAAAAATTTGTGCATCTATTAATATTGTTACAAATAATAAAAATACAAATGGATTAAAATATTTAATTATACTTTTATATGTCTACGTTAACCAGACTTAAATTAATGATTAACCCAAATTGACTTAGAGGTTCAAATCCAATACTCGGTAACTATGCACAGTACGAAACTAAATTGAGCCTGACAAAGTTTTGTAAGACAACGAGCTTTATTGTAAAGCCCACTAAATCGGACTTGTCCTTATCCAAAATAAATATTGAGCCATTGATTAGGTGGCCTTTGGCGTGGTTTTTTTTGTTTTACATAAAACTTATTCAACACCTCCTTTTTTGCACTTTGTTTGCTACGCCTATTGTACATTCATTCAAATATCTTGTGCACTTTGTGATTATAATTTTGTTGTTAATTTATGTTTACACCCGTGTAATATATACATAAAAAAAATTATATAAAAATATATTTAATTTATATTTATAATATATCTAAAATGTATTTTCAGAAAACATAATGACCTTTAGATAGGTTA